TTGAGTCTGTTGTACTGTGATCTCTATATATAAACCTGCATGTGAACTGGTCTTGTGACCACTTGCTTGTGCTCGGAATTTGTGTGGTATCCTTGAGATCCACCCTGAGCTTGTTTTGCCTTGCTTTGCCTTGACTGGTCTTGTGACCCCTAGTTCTCCCCCACTTTGCCTATGGGGGTGTGTCAAACATTATATATGTTGTGTTAGTTTAGGCTACAGTGGGTTAGCCTATAGGGGGTACACAATTCTAGGGTTAGGTACTTGTACTCTTTTCATTGCTAGTTCATTCATTCCTGTTCAGTGATTCCAACAGTCGAGGTCGAGCTCGGGCTGGTCGTCCTCTGCGTTGTCGAGCAGCGTGCTGTAGGCGGTCGATGGCAGACAGGCATGGTAGCTCAGCTTCTCTGCAGGCTTTCCGAGGTTGGGGCGGGAGGAATGCCTCGTCTTCACATTTTCGACTGGGACTTCCACCACGTCACTGTCGTCGGACTGCTCCCCTGAAGACAGCTCCCCTTCCTCGCCACCAAGGACTTCTACGACGCCGCTCGACTCGCCATCGTCAAGCTGGTCCTCTGCCGACGGCTCCTCTGCTGACTCGGACTGCTCCCCTGCCGACATCTCCTCTGTCGTCGGCTCCTCGACCGATCACGCCTTTGCCAAATCCTCTGCCCGGCGCTCCCCTGTCGTCGAAGGCTTCTCCACTCGTCTGCTGAGGTGCATCTCGTCACGTCGGCCGCCGGTGATGCCACTAGCCGGCGCTGAAGGCGACGCAGCAATGCTCCCCTCATCGCCGGTGGCCGAAGGCGACGCCGTCTTCGGTGGTTCAGCGACAAGGGGCAGAGGGGAGGTAGAGGTGGGCGCAGAGGGAGGAGTCACGTCCTCGACGTCGTCATCCTCGATGGCAAGCAAAGGGGTCGTCGTCGAGGAGGGATCCGTCGGCGCGACAGCAGGTTTCCGCGTCGAATGGGGGGCCCAGCCCGCGTCCGTGGACAGGGTCACGAGCGTTACTTCCTGCTGGTCGTTGATGACTACTCGCGTTACACCACAGTCTTCCCCTTGCGCAGCAAGGGTGAGGTCCCTGAGGTGTTGATCGACTGGATCCGCGGTGCTTGTCGCCAGCTCAGTGAGAGTTTCGGTTCAGAACTTCCTGTTCTGCGTCTGCACTCAGACAGAGGTGGGGAGTTTTCCTCCGACCTCCTGAGGGCCTTCTGTCGTTCGGAGGGCATCCGCCAGACGTTCACGCTTCCGGCCTCCCCGCAGCAAAATGGGATTGCTGAGCGCCGCATTGGCATGGTCATGGACGTCGCTCGTACGTCCATGATCCATGCGGCTGCTCCCCATTTTCTGTGGCCGTTCGCGGTTCAGTACGCTGCGCATCATATCAACCTTCAGCCTCGTGTCTCCTTGCCGGAGACCACACCTACTCTGCGGTGGACGGGGAAGGTTGGCGATGCGTCCGTGTTCCGTGTCTGGGGATCTCGAGCTGTTGTCCGCGACACTACAGCGGAGAAGCTGTCCTCCCGTGCCGTTCCCTGTGTCTTCCTTGGCTTCCCTCCTGACGCACCCGGGTGGCAGTTCTACCACCCCACCTCGCGTCGTGTTCTGTCCTCTCAGGACGTCACGTTTGACGAGTCGGTTTGGTACTACCGTCTCTTTCCCTACCGCACTGCCTCTCTCCCCCCCCCGCCGCTCTTCCTAGCACCAGGTACTCCCCCGGTAGACCCCCTCCCCCCCTAGGGTCCTGCCCCCTCAGGTGTGTCCCAGGTAGACCCTGCCGAGCCGGTCGAGGTAGCTGTCGACTAAGGTGCTACTAGGGGTGCTGAGCTTGCGGGTGCGGGGACTGGGGGTGCTGAGCCTGAGCGTGTGGAGCCTGGGGGTGCTGAGTCTGGGGGTGCTGAGTCTGGGGGTGCTGAGCCTGGGCGTGTGGAGCCTGAGGGTACTGTGTCTGGAGGTGTTGAGCCTGCGCGTGCTGAGTCTGGAGGTGCTCTAAGTGTCCCGTCGCGGCGGGAGCCTCTCTCTCTACAGCAGCTTCGTGAGTGGTACTCTTGGCGCTGTCGAGGTGCTGCTGGTGCTGCTGGAGCTGCTGGAGGTGCTGCTGGTGCTGGAGGTGCTACTGGTGCTGGAGCTGCTGGAGGTGCTGTTGGTGCTGGAGCTGCTGGAGGTGCTGCTGGTGCTGGAGCTGCTGGAGGTACTGCTAGAGCTGCTGGCAGTGCTGCTGGTACTGGAGGTGCTGCTGGTGCTGGAGCTGCTGGAGCTGCTGGAGGTGCTGCTGGGACTGGAGACCCTGGGGCTAGGGTACCGGTTCTGTCTCTGCTGTTTCTGGAGGCGCTGCACGGCCGCGGCCGTACTACGTTCCGCTCCTTCAGCGGGTTCTTGGCTCCCCGCCTTCTCCTGGTCCTCCTCCTCCTTTCGTGAGTCCACGGCCTGTCCAGTCCCAGTCGCAGTTGCAGCCAGCCTCTCCACTGCCTGGTCCTTCTCCTTACTCTGGACCGACTAGAGGTCTTACGGAGCGTCGTGAGCCTGAGTCTCGTCCTGTGTCGCCTGCATCTCGTTCTGCGTCGCCTGTCTGTACTGTTCGCGCTGGTCGTGTTTCGCGTCCGCGTCCTCCTCCTGTCCCTGGCACTCACTCTATGACTCTGCGTCCTTCCACTGCTCCGCAGCGTGTCCCTTTGCCGTCTCCTCCTGCGTCCTCTCTTCCTGCCGGTCCGGACCCTGCGTCTGACTCCCTACGTGCTTCTAGTTCAGCTGTCACGCGTTTTCTGGCCACTGCTGTCACTGACCCTTTGTTTGAGTCCACTGCTGCGTCTGCTCTTGTTACTGAGCTCGTTGACTTTGCTGCAGCCTGTCGCCTAGACTACGCCACTAGTCTTGTTGCTGAGTCTGCGTCTGTGTCTGTCTGTCCTCCGTCCGTCGGGGGTGAGTGTGCTCTTGGCACGGACGTTCTTGAGGACAGACAGGAGGAGTTTGAGTGCTTTGCTGCTTCTGTACCTCATCTCGTGTCCATGCTGCTTGCCCCTGAGGGAGACCCGGATGCACCAGACATCCCGACCCCGCGCTCTTACGCAGAGGCGATAGAGGGTCCCTACTCCTCTCAGTGGCAGGCAGCCATGGACGCCGAGATGGCTTCCTGGAAGTCCACAGGCACCTACGTCGACGAGGTTCCCCCGCCTGGGGCGAACATCATCAGTGGCATGTGGATCTTCAGGGTGAAGCGGCCGCCGGGTTCTCTGCCTGTCTTCAAGGCGCATTACGTTGCACGTGGCTTCAGTCAGCGACAGGGAGTTGACTTCTTCCATACCTTCTCCCCTAGCCCAAAGATGACCACTCTTCGGGTACTGGTGCACGTAGCTGCTCAGCGTGACTACGAGCTCCACTCGCTTGACTTCAGCACAGCCTTCCTACAGGGCAGCCTGCACGAGGAGATCTGGCTGCGCCGCCCACCTGGCTTCACTGGGTCGTTTCCAGCTGGTACCCAGTGGAGCCTCCGGCGGCCAGTCTACGGTCTCCGTCAGGCACCCCGTAAGTGGCACGACACACTGAGGACGACTCTTGCTGCTCTTGGTTTTGCTCCTTCCACTTCTGACCCTTCTCTGTTTTTACGCACTGACACTACTCTGCCGCCGTTCTACGTTCTCGTGTACGTAGACGACCTCGTCTTTGCTACTGCTGACACTGAGGCACGCGCCCACGTGAAGTCCGAGCTGCAGAAGAGACACACTTGCACAGACCTGGGTGAGCTGACAAGCTATCTTGGCTTGCGGATCACCCGGGACAGAGCACAGCGCACCATTACCTTGACTCAGTCACACATGGTGCAGCAGGTCCTTCAGCGCTTCGGCTTCACGTACTCCTCGCCACAGTCCACTCCTCTGCCTACCGGTCACTCGCTCTCAGCTCCACCTTCGGACGAGTCCGTAGAGCCGAGTGGCCCGTATCCAGAGCTTGTGGGCTGCCTCATGTACCTGATGACTTGCACACGACCTGACCTCGCATACCCTCTCAGCCTTCTGGCTCGCTACGTGGCTCCCGGCAGGCACCGAAAGGTGCACTGGGATGCTGCGAAGAGGGTGTTGCGATACTTGTGCAGTACATCGGGCATGGGGCTCGTGCTTGGAGGACGGGCTCGAGTTGTCCTCACTGGTCACGCTGATGCCTCCTGGGTTGACGACTTGGCTACGCAGCGGTCGTCACAGGGTTACACCTTCAGTCTTGGCTCCGGTTCTGTCTCTTGGCGGTTTACCCGCTCTTCTTCTGTTCTCAGCTCCAGTTGTGAGGCGGAGATCTACGCTGGGGCCATGGCTGCTCAGGAGCTACGCTGGCTCACCTACCTGCTGACCGACTTGGGAGAGGCGCCTCGTTCTCCTCCAGTTCTGTACGTCGACAACAAGGCCATGCTGGCCTTGTGTCAGGAGCACAGACTGGAGCACAGAACGAAGCACATTGCTCTGCGCTACTTCCTTGCTCGAGAGTTGCAGCAGCGTGGCCAGCTTCGTCTTGCTTACGTGGCCTCTCAGGCCAACACTGCTGATGTTTTCACCAAGGCACTTCAGCCTTATGATCATCAGCGTTTCTGTACTGTGTTAGGCCTTGTACCTACTGTGCCTCACTTGCTTTGTTCTTGACTCTGCCTGTACTGTACTCTTTATACATATACCTGCATGCTTACACTTGCTAAGTTGTGTTCACTGTATTGTTTGTTCTCCTTTATATAAATCTGCATGTGAACTGGCCTTGTGGCCATTTGCTTGTGCTCAGACTGCGTGGTGACTTTGTGATCCACCCTGAGCTTGCTTTGCCTTTCTTGACTGGTCTTGTGACCTCTTGTTCTCCCCCACTTTGCCTATGGGGGTGTGTCAAACTTATATTCTATAGTCTGTTTAGGCTGTAGTGGGGTAGTTCTTACAGGGTACAACACTTTTAGGTTTCCCATATGTACCCACCTGCTTTCTAGTTCAATCATTCCTCTCATTATTCTCACAGTGAGTGGGCTGCCCAACCACTCAGCAGTGAGAAATGGGCTGATGAGAGGAAATAGGGGCGGATGTGAGGAGAGAAGTGCGGATGGGAGGAGATAAGGGCGCATGGGAGGAGAGAAGTGCGGATGGAAGGGGATAAGGGCGGATGGGAGGAGATAAGGGGGGGATGAGAGGAAATAGGGGCGGATGTGAGGAGAGAAGTGCGGATGGGAGGAGATAAGGGCGCATGGGAGGAGAGAAGTGCGGATGGGAGGGGATAAGGGCGGATGGGAGGAGATAAGGGGGGGATGAGAGGAAATAGGGGCGGATGTGAGGAGAGAAGTGCGGATGCGAGGAGAGGCGCATGGGAGGAGAGAAGTGCGGATGGAAGGGGATAAGGGCGGATGGGAGGAGATAAGGGGGGGATGAGAGGAAATAGGGGCGGATGTGAGGAGAGAAGTGCGGATGGGAGGAGATATGGGTGCTTGGGAGGAGAGAAGTGCGGATGGAAGGGGATAAGGGCGGATGGGAGGAGATAAGGGGGGGATGAGAGGAAATAGGGGCGGATGTGAGGAGAGAAGTGCGGATGGGAGGGGATAAGGGCGCATGGGAGGAGAGAAGTGCGGATGGAAGGGGATAAGGGCGGATGGGAGGAGATAAGTGTGGATGAGAGGCGATGAGTGCGGATGAGAGGCGATGAGTGCGGATGAGAGGGCGATGAGAGAGGATAAGGGGGCGATGAGTGCGGATGGGAGCGAGATGCGCAGATGTGAGGCCCTAAGTGCGGGAAGTAGGTTGCGTAGCGTATGTGATGTGACTGGGGCGTTCGTATTATGACATACGCGCCTCGTGGCGTATACCTCTAATGTAAATGACATATTCTAGCGGGAATGACGGAGACATAGTGGCTTAATATGTTGGAAAACCCAGGTTAAGACGCATCCATTGAGTACGAGAATCTTGGCTCCCTCTAATGCGATTAGAGGGAGAACGACGCGTGTGGCTAGCCCTTGTTCTTGCCAGGATATCGATCTCACCTTTGGCGGTATGGCGCTGGGAGGGGATGGCAAATCGCGTTGGGAGGGGATGGCTAATAAGTAGGGACCAGAGGAGATAAGCGCGGTGAAGGGATGGATGTGAGATAGATGTCGAGAGGCGAATGTTGGGAGGGTGGTTGGTTTAGGCTACAGGTTTTTTTTTGCATTCCTTTTCAGGGTAATGTGAAGTCTGGTAGGTGGGGAATGTACGCGGGATCAGGACTGGATTCCTCATTCTCGAGCGGCAGCAAAGGGAATCCGATTTGGATCCCCCCCCTCTAGGGCGGAGAAGTTCCGCAAAGGGGGAGGTTGTGGAGGGGATGCGGCGCGGGCGACACTCTAGCTTGGGGTTCGCGGCGCCTTGAAGGCCGAGGTTTGGTGGGTTTTTCACATTTTTCTTGTTCTGACCGGGGTTTTTTGCCTGGTTCGACAATCTCGAACCTGGTGGCCCGGCATTTTGATCCCCCCTCAAAGCCTCTCCCCTGGCTGCCGAACACCGCCCTGGTGGGTTCGAACCCACGAGGGCTCGGATGAACCAAACGGGAAAGTGGAAGGAGGATAGTGAGTGAACTGCTCAGCTCAGCAAGAATCCGCCTTGGACATCTGCTGGCTTGCGCAACAGTCGTGGCGGAAGTCTGTCACGTCCGCGCACACACGCATCCGCACGTGTCAAACTCGCTACGTATCAGGGGTTTAGGGTTTAGGGTGAGTTTGACCATTTGCATTGCAATTCTCCTCCATAAGCTGGCAGAAGCAAGGTGCACAGAGCATTGCTGCAGAGACGGACTGAGGCAGCAGGCAAGTGGTGCCACTGTTACCTGTCAAGCCGTTGTGTTTGGTCGCTCGCAGACGCAGTCTCGCACTCGCATCGCATGTGATTCGTTGAGTCACTCGTCATTTCCTCCATCCTCTATCTTGCTAGTGGTAGTCAATGCTTGCATGTGGGCTCCCATGAACATGCATTTTCGGGTGCTGGGCTTCCAGTCAGTCGAATCCTAGCACTGAAAGTCAATTACAAATCTTGATGTACCATTCTTGTATTCTATGATTACATATATGCTTCCAAGGTTGCACCACCAGCTACTTCTTATGACAGCCAAGATACGTTCGGAATCAAGAATCAACACATACGAACCATACTGGGAGAAGTTTCGCAGCTTTTGCATTAAGGCCAGAATGGATTTCTTGCCTGCTGCAGATCTCACACTAGCACTCTACTTAGTGCACGCAATCAACCACAAGGCCACAGTCTCCAGCGTACAGCTCACATGCGTTGTAGTCAGCTTTGCCCATCGCATGACAGGGTCAGCCAACCCAGCGAACGGCCCGTTCACAACGCAAGTCCGGGAGTACGCCAAACGACACTGCCCTCGGCCAACACGAGTGAAAGAGCCCGTCTCCCTTCATCAAGTCCAGGCAATGGCGGGACCTTTTCTCCAGTCAAGCGAACCAGGCACCTACCAGAAGGGCCTCATCGTGCTGCTCATGTACTCGGCCTTCCTTCGCTTCTCGGATCTGGTGTCAATCCAGTGGGAGGACATCCAATTTGAGGCTACGGCAATGTGGCTTCTAATTCCACACTCAAAAACTGATCAGGAGAGCAAGGGCGTATGGGTCCCCGTTGCCGCAACTGACGGACCATTCTGCCCCGTGCGGTGCACCAGGCACTTCATCAAGCTGGCGCAGTATGGGCCAAACACCAAAGGCCCGTTGATTCGTATTTTTCGACGCAACTCCCCGCCATCGTCGCAGGTTACCGCCCCATCATACCCCACTATCCGCACGTGGTGCTTGCATGCGTTCCAAGCAGCTGGCATCGACCCTACACACCTCGGCACCCATTCATTCCGCAAAGGGGCAACAACAGTTGCAGCGAGCACGGGCATCCCGGACCGCCTTTTCAAAAGACTGGGGCGATGGCGGAGCGAAACCGCGAAAGACCTTTATGTCACCATCTCACACGATCACCTCCTTGTTGCGTCGCGACGCCTCCACGACCAGGCGCATGTTCCATCCCTCTCGCAGCACGAGCGTGCACTTACTTGGCACCGCCAACAAGCACTCACCATGTCTCAGAAAACCCAGTTGAAATGAGGGTACATTCCGCTGTGGACACTGTCCCAATCGATGTGTCCCAATCGAGTATACCGCTCCGAACCGAATTAAACCAGAGACGCGAAAATTTCGAAACGAGGGTGCAATTTGGTGTAATACGATGCAGTGCGGTAGAAACGATTGGGACACTTACGATTGGGACATGTCCAGCGCGGAATGTACCCTGAGACGTTGCATTTGCAAGACAAATAGCAAACTTTCACAATATGTAAATTTTTGAAAGTGTGTAACACTTTCTAAAATTGTGTATTGTGGATAGCGAAGATATTTGTAACGAAGCAAAATGCTTCGGCGAACCGCTACTTCCCCTCTTTTTCGGTATAAAAGAGGGGGCGAAGGCCATTTGGACTTCACCCACGTTTTTCATTTCAAACTTTTCAGTTTTCAAGTTCCCCACCCTCCCACCCTAGTTTAGTAGGGAATTTATTGTTGTTATCCTGTAAATTGCTTGGACGATAAAAATCTTGTACTTGCCAGTTGAAATGAGACGTTGCATTTGCAAGACAAATAGCAAGCTTTCACAATGCAAGGTGCACAGAGCATTGCTGCAGAGACGGACTGAGGCAGCAGGCAAGTGGTGCCACTGTTTACCTGTCAAGCCGTTGTGTTTGGTCGCTCGCAGACACAGTCTCGCACTCGCATCGCATGTGATTCGTTGAGTCACTCGTCCGCGAATGGGAGGTCAAGAAGCAGGCACTTTACCGCATCATCCCTCCGTGATTCTTGCAAAAAAGTGCGTTGCCTTGTCCATATGTCGACCTACTACGTATGACGAAATTGGGCACATGAAAAGCCTATGAAGCTCCACTTCGAAATCACACACCAAACGCAAGCCTACGAAGCTTATGAAGCTGACATCGTAATCATATTCCCGCCCCCTCATCCCCTTGGCTTAGAACCGCCAAACGCCTTTTACACATACATTTCAAGTAATCAGTTTCGCGTTCCTGAGTTCCCATAGAATGATGTCTCGCTTGCCGCCGGCGCCTGCTCTCTCTGGAGCCAGTCGCGGTCATTCCATCCGCGCGGGAACCTACGAGGATGTTTCTCAACACATGCCCGGAAACTATGCTGCTGTTCCTCCTATAGCTTCCGCGAACCGCCGCCCTTTCGGAACTGATAGTGCTGACGCCAGCCGCGCACCTGGGGAGAGGTGCGGACCAATGGCGGGAGGCGGAGGCTTCAATTCCTCCGCGGACTCCGCGCCGCTGAAGCCGCTTGCGAGTGTGAAGCTGCGGCAGGGGACTAACGAGGACGCGTCGCAGTTAATGCCGGAAAATTACCGCGTCGGCAGCGCTATGAGTGGGGAATTTAACGCGCACGTGGCGGCTGAAAATGCGGAGAGGAGTTTGAGGGTAATGCTTCTTTCTACTGTCGTTTACCATTACTGGAACCTAGTCCAGGTGTCGGCTTTAAAATTAGTGCCCCTGTTCGTCCCGATGTAGGAAACGAAACATTATTTCGTTCGTTTTCCCTGCCTTTTAGCCCAGAGTAGTAACTCGAGTCTGCGGCTCCTTCTCATCACTCTCCTCTCCCCGCGCTCAGTAACCAGTCAGCACCGCTCCCCAACATGACGCCATACCAAATTCGATTGTATAGGCATTTCAGAATTTTTGAGGCGTCTATTTTCGAGTCACCCAAAAAATAGACTTCGAGCTTTGTATCCCGTCAGCACCGCTATTCAAAATGACGACATACCATTTTCTAGGCGCCTCAGTATTCTCGAGGCGTCTATTTTTCAGACGCCTAAAAATGTACCTCGTGCTCTGTATCCCGTCAGCAAGCTATCCGAAACGACGACATACCATTTTTTTTGCGCCTCAGTATTCTCGAGGCGCTTCAAAAGTAGAACCACTAATGAAATTCTTTCTCCCTCCCCTCGCTTCCTCTGGCTCATGGCGTCCCCCGCCCGCCAAGCAGGCACAACCCAAGTTCGGCGGCAGCGCGGTTCGCCTCGACCAGCCGCCAATAAGCCCCACCGCCGACCGCGCACTTACGCGCTATGCCAGCGCGGGAGCTGCCTCACTCGGCGCAATGGGCGCTGCGGCCGCCACAGCCACGGTTTCGCTCTACCCGAATTTCGGGACCGACTCACGAGGCGCCGCGGGAACAGGAGCGACGCGCGGCGGAGTCTGTCAGCGCGCTGAGCCAGAGCCACCGCAGTTACAAGCTCGAGGCGCGTATGAAACTTCGCAAAAGATCTTTGCGACACGAGGTTCGAGAATCCCGTCCGCGGGAACTGGGAGCGAGATCGCAAGCGAGCTCGAATCTGGTTTCAGTTTTATGACTTTGACGTCTGACGCGGGCGACTCGGCGCAAACCCCTTGGATGAGTCCCGCTGTGAATTCTGGGGGAGCTCCGGGAAACGACTTTTTGCGGAGGGAATGCGCGGATGCGGGGGAATGGGAAAGCAGGAACAGCTGGGAAACGATAAACAGCAACCGCACGGGATGCGCGGACACGTGGGTTTGGGGGAGGGGAAAAGAGGGTGGCGTGGGGGATGGGGAGGTTAGGTGGGGGGAAGGGGGGAAGGGTGTGGGGGAGGGGAGGGGGCAGTGTCGGATGTTCAGCTTGGAGCAGATTGTACGCGCGACAAACAATTTCAGTAACGCGAAACTGCTGGGGCGAGGCGCTTTCGGACAGGTAATGCGGGAAGAAATTCGGTATTTGTTCTATTTTTGTCTACACGTGATTCATAACATGTGATTGGTTGAAGCTGCGGGAGTGATGGGGTGTGAAAAAATGGGTTGATTCCTTGGTGGTTGTTTGTTGCCATTGTTAGAAAGTAAAAGGAATTCCAACCACTTGTTTCCATTCTCTTTCTAACGCACCCTACTACATACATTCATCCTTCTTTTCTTCCCAAACCCCCATTTCCTCTCCCTGCCAGGTGTACAAGGGCCGCCTGCTGGGCTGCAACATGGCCATCAAGCGCCTGGAGGGCGGTGGGTGGCAGGGTCCCAGCGAGTACAGCATGGAAGTGGATGTGCTGAGTCGCATGCGCCACCCTCACATCGTTCTCCTCATGGGCCACTGCCCCGACCCCAATGCCATGTGCATTCTCTACGAGTACCTGCCGGGCGGCAGCCTGCAGGAATATTTGGCTGCTAGTGCGAGGAGTGGGAGTGGTGCTGGGGGAGTGGGGGTGGGCGATGGCAGTAGACGTTCTGCAGTGTTTCCTGGATCGGGCTCTGATATGACATCCTGCTCGGTTGCTAGTTCGGTGGCAGGTTCGGTAGCTGGTGGTACAGTCAGTCAGGTTCTGCGCCAGCCCTTGGCTTGGTACGACAGGGTGCGAATACTCTCTGAAGTTTCAGGCGCACTGCTGTACCTCCACCAGCATTCGCCACCCATCGCGCACCGAGACTTGAAACCCGACAACGTGTTACTCGATGGTAACCGCATGAGCAAGGTGGGAGACGTAGGCCTGGCAAGGCTAATCGCAGAGGACGATTACAACGTAACCGCACGCGTGCAAGGCACAGTGGGGTATATAGACCCTGAAGAGGTGGCGACATGTGAAATCTCGGTGTTATCTGATGTGTACGCGTTTGGGCTGATTGTGCTCCAGCTGCTCATGGGCGAGCCTCAAGTAAAGCTGATTCATCGCCTTCTGACGGATACAGCAGCAATGGTAGATGCAGAGAAGCGTAGAGCGGGGAGAGTGGGAGGGGTGTGCTCAGAGCCATGGTCTGCTGCTGTGGACGCAGTCTTGACACGGCTGGATAAGTCCGGTGGGGAGTGGCGTGCTGACATGGCGCGCCAGCTGGCGGTGATTGGAGTGCGGTGTGCTGACAGGGCAAGGGCTAGAAGGCCTGATTTGGAAAAGGATGTGCAGCCGGTGTTGATGAGGCTAGAGGAGGAATTGAGAAGGGAGGAGGACAAGGGCAGGACGGATGTGGACAACCAGCTGCTGTGCCCCATCTCTCAGGTATGTTCAACCCGAATATATCCCAAAATATCTTAGCAAGAACAGCATTTTTTGCTGCTGGCATATTCTACTCCTACTCAGATACTCATGTGGTTCTTAATCCCCTTGCATATCTCCCCAATTTTGCAGAAGCGCATGACAGACCCTGTGGTGGCAGCTGATGGGTTCACATATGAGCGCTATGTGATTGAGCAATGGCTAGAGCGCAACGACAGATCGCCGATAACAGGAGCGCCCTTCTCTCATAGGTTCCTCACCCCCAACAACACACTACGCATGTTGCTTCCATTGCAGTGAGGAGACAGTTAGCATATAATGTAAATGGTTAGTGTGCTATTTCAGTAGTGTGCGTTCGTATTTATATGCACCTTGAATGGTTAGTGTGCTAATTATTTATATGCGTATGTATGTCTAGTGTGGTTTGTTTGGGATATTCGTAAGCTGCATGTTTTGTGCAACTGCATTTTATCCCCACTTTGATTGCAAATGTACAAGTCTCGATGTTGCAAACTGGCTGTGTTCTTCAAACTGCCAGCTCAGTGGCACGTCACCATATTCGCTGGCATCGTTCACGCTGTGCAATTCCTCTGATTGGATATCATCGCCACATCCATAGGGTAACATAGTATTGGCGTCGCTCTGACGAGCTTCGTCTGGAGATCCATCGAATGAGATAATGTCGTGCAAACCCTGCGAGATCTCAGTGCGTTTCGCTCGTGTCTATCTTAACAAAACGCATCCAGTCAGCAGATATCAAGGGCTTCTTCAACCAGTCATCCTTGCGTCCTATCTCCTTATTTTGTTCGCTATTCACTGAGATCTCGCTGTGTTAGACTCTCATTCCTAGACTCCAGACCCTGGTCTTAGTTTTACAGAGCCACTACATTCCAAGGTCAGTCAGTACCAATCGCCTGACTTCATCGTCCCCTCTTCAGAGAACTTTTTTTTCCCGCTCCGATTTTGAATCTTGAGTCTTGGCGCGAGGGGGATACTGTGGGCCACAGCGGTAGAGATGCTGAGCATTGCTCGGTCGTCGGTTCAGGCGGCTTCATGGAAGCTGCTGCAATCGCCGGAGTCAACAGCGAGCTTTGAATGGAGGCGAAAGGCGACATCGCAGGCCGTCGCACGCGTCGCGATTAACAGAAGTTCGCGGCAACCCCTCCGTAAGCCTTGCTTTCCTGGCATTGTTGAGACATGGTCATGTTATTGTGGAGCTGACCACGCGTTTTCTAATGTTCCTTGTGTATTCTACTGCATTTTTCATCCGGTTTCAGAAATCTTCGCTATTTCCAGCAACGACTTCCGCGTGGGAACCAGCATTGAGCTTGACGGAGCGCCATGGAGAGTGCAAGGTGTGTTAATGGTGGTGGTGCAAACCCTCGCTTACTATTGATGAATGGTGATTTCTTTACGCAGCTTTCACGTCTACTCATGAACTCGCCAGTGTAGATCGTTCCATGTTTGCTACTCTGGTGCTTTACTGAACGCTGTATCTGGTCCTCTCTCTTCTCTCCTGGCAATTCTTAGTTTCTGCATGTGACGCCCTGCAAGGCAGGTATCTCAATATTCCACCGTGCTTTCCTTATCCAACCTCCTCTCTGCTGTCAGCGCAGAGTTTCTGCATGTGAAGCCCGGCAAGGGAGCGGCGTTCGTGCGCACCAAGCTCCGCAACTTCATCACCGGGAACACCGTGGAGCGAACCTTTCGCGCTGGCGAATCGGTCAGTCTCAAAGGGGCGAGATCGAGAGAGGGATAGTTTTATCAAGGTAGTTTTTTTCTAGCCCCGTCCGGCTAAGGTCTGCTAAGCCTATATCACGCGTGATTTCTTCATTTTCACACGATCCATCCCTCGTCCTCCCTACCCTCCCCTTTTCGCACTTCACTCTTGATCTTCCGTTTCTTGATCGGTTTCCTCGTTGTCTCTGTTATTCGCGTCTCCCTTCCGCGGGCAGGTGGACGAAGCGAGTGTTGTGAAGGACGTGAAGCAGTTCACGTACCTTGACGGCGAGGACTTCGTCTTTATGGACATGGTGAGTCTTTTCACCTCCAGCCCAAGTCACTCCAGCCTTCAAAGTTCCCGTGAAGTTATCATACCTCGACGGCGAGGACTTCGTCTTTATGGATATGGTGAGTTAATGTCGTGAGTTAAATCGCTCGTCTGCGAGAATGCAAGAGGGAGATTTAGGCATGCGTGTGTTGAGGTCTCCATGCCGCCAGGTTCGGCGAAATTCTAAGAGACGCTTAAGGACCGTAGCCGTGAGGCGGCGCGGAGGGCAGCGGTGATGATGATCGTGATCCCAAGTGCCGAACGGCCGTCCGAGTCAAGATGGGCGGCCCTCATCATGTGGCCTCACCGGCGGACTGAGCTGCCCTTAACCTTCGATTTCTGAGACATGATTTACCTGCTCTACGCCAGGTTGACGTATCGTGATGTCGCTTCGTCGAGAGCATTCTCCGCTCTCTTGTTAATTTCTTTGTGCTCTGTAAACGGGCAGGACGCGTTCATGACTCGGTCCAGCTCTTGCACTATTGTTCGGATTAAAGCCATTATTCTCCAGTGTGGGGTTACCACTAAGCGCGAACATTTCCCAGCCGTATCCCGGTCTGCGTCCCTGTTACCATTGCGGCGATGATGATAACCAAAATGAGACCCTCCGATGCCAGCTGCCACGTGACACGTGGCTGACTGCGTGAGGATAAAATTGATGCGGTTAACTGAGCTTTGCAGGTCCATGCCTCTAATTCTTGTCTCGTTCTCGTTTTGCCGGTGTCAAGTGGTGCGCTAATGTCGTAGTGCCCTCCATGCCCCCTCCTTCTCTTCCCATTTTCCCCTCTCTGCCCCCTTTCCCGTTTGGTTCCGGCCTCCTCCCTGTTTTTCCCCTGGTGCCCCAATCTCGTTTTCATTCGCAGGTGACGTATGAGGAGACTCGGGTGACCAAGGCCCAACTGGGCGACAGAGTGAAGTTCCTTAAAGAGGGGACGGAGTGTAACGTGCTGACGTGGAACGACAAGGTGATCGACCTGGAGCTCCCGATCACGCTCAAAATGAAGGTCGTGCAGGCCGACCCGGGCATCAAGGGCGACACTGCTGGCGGAGGTGAGTGGAGGAGGGGGGTGAGGTGAGTATGTGAGGTGAGTGGATCGAGTGAGCTGCCCATCAAGCTCGAAGTGAAGGTGGTGCTGGCCGACCCCGGCATCAAGGGCGACACTGCTGGTGGAGGTGAGAGCGGATGGGTGGAGTGAGGGGGGTGAGTGGATGAGGGTTGAGGGGAGTTCAGTGGATGATGAGTGGGTGATTGGGGTGATTGGGGTGAGGCGTTGGGAATGGGGTCGGTGTGTGCTAGCGAGAGAGGGAGAACAGGAAAGGAGGGTAAATGTATGTTATTGAAGGTTTCATGCCTCGGATGGGCCTGTTGACACCATGAAACCCCAACGGTGTACTAATCTATCCCCTGTTTCTTCACTCCCACCTATCCCTGCCACTGATCTACTTCCCCCTTCCTCAATACCAACAGGTGGGACCAAGCCAGCAATTATTGAGACGGGAGCAACGGTGTCCGTGCCGCTGTTCATTGAGGAAGGAGAAATAATCACTGTAGATACCCGCACAGGCTCCTACATGGGGCGAGCTTAAATCATGTACACCCTTAGTCAGGTCTGATTATTTGTACTAAGCATTTCGGTCAGGTGAAGACGAGTAAACAGTTATACATCGGTCTGCTTCGGTAGTTGCTAGTCTGAATACGACTCCTTTACTTACGCAGTATTTATAATAGGGTGTGCCTGTCAATCTACAGAAAGTCTGGTACCAACCAATTCCTCAGGATTGGTACAAACATTTCTGTGCAAATCCATTCTTTTGGCTCATCCATGTTACTAGACCATAAACTGCAGGTAGGCAACCTTTTTATCACACTGGTCAACTCTCAAACATACACGAGACACACATCTGAGTCTACTAAATAGCTGCTAAGCCCTGATTGGGTCAGATCGGTTGCCTTTAGTCACATCCTATACAGCACCCCCAGCTGCCTAAGCTGCAATCCCAGAAAAATACTGATTAGATGGAGGACAGCTGCAGCGTTTTGCCTGATTGCCTTCCATTGAGCCCTCTCCATACAAGCACTCCTGAAGCCACTGCTACAATCACAGCTGCTGCAGGCCAGCCCCGCAACGCCCACGCCTTGATGGTGCTTCCAGATAGCTTCCCCATCAGGCCCATGGCCTTAGCCACTTGCACTATTGCTGCCGCTGCTGCTACAAGCACAACAGGCGCAACCGCTTTAACAGCAGTGGGCAACAGCTGGAATGCTCTTGAACTCTCAAGTTCTGCTGCTACTGCTGCTGCTGCTGGTTTCTGTGATGCTGCTGGAAGAGCAACAGCAGTTGGAGCAGGAGTTGTCTTCACAGCAGCAAGCTGTGTTTCCCTGGCAGAGGCACGGGCGGTTGTGGCAGGTGCGTGGTGGTGCTGATGGGTGTGGCCGGACAGGGTCTCCTTGAGTGCAGATACGGTGTTGTGAGCTGTGGTGGTTACCAGATGGGATAGCTGCTGGGCTCTGTGGTGGGAGGGGGAAGAAGGGGGAGAGGAACAGCAGGGAAGGGCGGGGGAACGGATGCAGAGGAGGGGCAGAGGGCTACCGTGGTTGCCAGCGGTGGTGGATACAAGCGATGGAGGTTACAAGACGAGAGGGAGGGCAGGCGGGATAAGAGCAGGGAAGGGTGGGGATCGAGAAACGAGGGAGGACATAACGAAACATTGGGTGCTTGGGCTGTTATTGCGTGGCATGTTTGCGACTCGTGTCTCTTCGCGCGCGTCGCCTGCTCTCGTACGCCTACATGAAGCTCAACGTACGGTTGGAGGGGCACGTGGGTGCCCACGATCTGGTCAATCGTGTCGTTATCGATGAGACGGCAGTACGTCGTCGTGCACTCCTGCAGAAACTCCACCACGTTCCGCTCCACCTCCACGTGCCTGCCGCCCGTGCCGCCCGTGCCGGCCGCGGCGAACCGCAACACCACAGTGCCGTCCGGGAGCTCTGGTGTTACGCGCGACCAAGAATGCGAAGGGGGGAGAAGCCGAGCAATTGCAGGTATGCGATGCGCGCCGGTGAGGAGAGGACAACACGCGAAAGAATGAGATAAGGGTTAAAGGAACAGTATGTAGAAGCAAAATATTGAAAGTCGCTTTAAACAAACCAGAGAAAAAACGTTTAGAACCCTTTTCAGAGACTTTTGTTCGCCTTTTCGCCGTTTTTGCACATAACGCGAGCAGTTGATTCAATAGCAGCTGAAACTTCGCGTGCTCTTTAAAATCCTTGGCACACATTCGTGAAGGTCCGAAGAGAGTAATGAACAGTGACAGTTAGATACTTAAGTTGATAACTTTCCCTTTCGCGTACCTTCCACTCGATGAAGAATCGCAGCGCCGTTCGCTCTGGCTGCTTTCGCGTGACCCGTTGCTACTGCGGCTCGGACTCCACGCGGCACGTGACGATTAGTCAGCACACGCTTGCTTGGCCCACGGCACGTGCTGCGCTGCGTCAGCGTCAGCCCTTGCATTGAACTCCGTGACGGCCTGATGGCGTTGTTGCTAACAGAGCGTACGGTACTTGCAGCGGTGGCGGTGTTTTGCGCGAGTGTGGAAGGAACAGCAAAGCTTGAACCGGCAGCATAACACGTGGTCGACGCCATGGCGCGACCTTGTAGTTCTTTCCTCCTGACACACACTATCTACAGCTGATATCCTTGTAACTCTCAGGATTGCCTGCAGAGGAAAAATGTCAGAAGCAATATTACTTCAAACTACGGTGCGTACGGTAGGAATTGATCCTGGAGTAGCCGTCCTTCCCTGACCTAAATAAATAACCCTTGTCCCGAAAGCTAGAGTGAGGAAGCCGTTCAAGTCTCGCGCGAATTACGACAAATCGCGAATCTCTGGGTTCTAGTGGGTGCTTGGGTGCTTCGGATTGATCGTTGAATCTGGAAAAGAACCATTTCCCCATGTGCCCTGCCCACTGCCCAGCCCATCCACTCTCGCTGCCGCCCTGCTGGCTCCTACCCTTATGTTTCATGCTGCGAGCCGCGATGGCGGGATTGAAGGGAAGTCGACCATACGTGTCAAACATTTTCCCGCGCAATCCTCTCCCAACGAGCAGCAAGTTCTCTCTGAAGGTTGCCCATCTGGAGTGTGATGTGAGTCCGAGCTGGAGTCTTGACTGCCGTTTGGAGTTCCATGATTTGCCGAAAGTCAGCTCAGCGATTTCCAGACACGTCATACCCGTAGGAGCTGACAAGACGCTGACCAATTTAAAAAATCGGATATGAAGTATTCGATGTATGTAGACAGCATATTACAATTGATATGCAGGCAACCCATAACAATTAATTGCACCCCTGTTTCATTTCTTCAACAATGTTAGCTTACATATGCATTTACTTGCTATTACTGAATTGCGTTATTATTTGTAAAACAAATCCAGGAATTGCAGAATTTCCCATTAAAACGATGAAATAATCTGTTTCTGCACATAAAAGGGCTTATTCATCTTTATATATTGAATGAAGCTGAAGTAAGTGTACAAAATAGATAAGGCGGTTTATGTGTCGGTAATGTAGTGGCCTCTCCTCGGGATGATGGGAAATGCCCAACAGCGCGGATATTCTGGGATACCAAAAACCAAAATCGATGTCGCCCCAAATCCTCGATTTCCTCTGCAGCTCTTGCCTTGTGTCATTCTGTTCCCAGCCTGTATTAGGTCGGAGCTATCTTTGGCTATGAAGCATTCAGTGCTGCAGTTACACTTAGCTTCTCGGTCGTCTTTCCTCTCACCATCGCGGTTCGTACATTTGCGGTCGGATCGATTTTGTTAACGTCGTCAGTTTGCTTGCCACCCATTGGTTGTCCTGTATGATATCTTTTTGCCATTAGCCTGCTTTTTCGGCATCTAAGACGTCTTTTCGCGAAAACAATAAGACCAGACACCCACAGGAACGCTTAGGAGGTGGTAACATTTCTTGCATCAGCTAGCCGCTGGCGGCAGCACTCGAGCCTCGCGCAGGCGGGCGTCGCTCGCCGTCGCCGCATCGCTGGGCGACGTCGCAGGCGATGAATTCGGAGGGCAGTATGGAAGGATCGTCCGCGGACGACAAGACTCCGCGCGGGCGCAACGTGGCCCACGCGCGCGGGGGCAACATGGGCGGAACGTTCCCCATGCGCAGCCCGGGGAAGGCGGGAGCAGGCGGAGGGCAACAGCAGCACCGGGATAAGAAAGGGCATCATCATCATTACCACCATTCTAAACATGTGCGATTTAGTGTGTTGTATTGTGAGAACTAGTCGTCAGTTGCCGTTTGGATGAATGCGAGATCGCGGCTCCAAGCACCTCTTAGACGAATGGTGGATTGATTCTTTATAAGACGTCCCAAAGAAAGCGCTGTATCACCTGCCTATGCATCTCCCTTGTGCCTGCGTGCCTTAAATAGCTGCAATCGTTTGAATCCATTCCATGCCAATCTAAATGCTCCCCCTTTTCCTCACCGTATTCCATTTGCATTCCCTCCTCTCCCGTCCCACAACCCCCCCCCCCCCCTCTCCCTTCCCCCCCCCCTTCCGTTTGATCTGCCCCTTGTTCCCTACGGCTGTCCCCTCTCCCACACCCTCCTCACCTCCGCCAGAACGTAGGCACACTGCAGAATCTGCTACCGTGGATAACCATCGAGTTACTCTCCCTCATCGCCTTTTCACTTGCATCCCCCATCTCTCCCCCGTTCTACACCCACCACCCAAACCACCTTCACCAGAACCTAGGCACGCTGCAGAAGCTACTGCCGTGGATAACCATCGGGTTACTCTCCCTCATTGCCCTCGTGCTGCTGGGCTCCGCGCTTTTTCCAGGGTAAGTGCCCCTCTACATGAGCAATTTTTTCTGCTTTTCTGCTGCATGCCCTGCTTTTCTCGTTACAATGTTTCCCTCCCCAGCATTCCCCCATGCAACCGCCCCAATCCCCCACGCCACTGCCGCCATCCCCCATCCCTCTTGCCCCAATGTGTCCTGAGACGATCAAGCGGTTACCAGAGCACTGTGTAAAGCTCCCAATTTCCCACCTCTCTATCTCCCCCTCCTCATTCCCCAACCACCCCCTCCCAACCCCCCACAGCTACATCTTCATGTGTCCAGAAACCATCAAGCGGTTACCAGAGCACTGTGTGAAGCTAGAGACCGACCCAGTGCAGCACAACTGGGTGTCCGCCGTCCTCCCCTTTGACTGCCTCCAAGCTCACCCATTGTCTCCCAAGGGCTTGACTGCTCCTATATACCTTCTTCCCTCCCCCCTCCCGCCTCTCCCCTTCCCCCCTTTCCCCCCCGCCCCCCTCCCTCCCCCCCCCCCTTCCCTCCCGACCCAACAGTTACATCTTCATGTGTCCCGAGACCATCAAGCGGTTACCAGAGCACTGTGTGAAGCTCTCATTACCCCCCCCTCTCTCTCTCCCTCCCGCTTCCCCCCACCTTTCCTTCCCCCCACACACAGCTACATCTTCATGTGCCCGGAGACCATCATGCGGTTACCAGAGCACTGTGTGAAGCTCGAGAGCGACCCGGTGCAGCACGACTGGGTGTCCGCCGTCCTCCCCTTTGACTGCCTCCAAGCTCCCCAGTCCTCCCCCGTGATCGCGCACCGGGTGGACGATGTCAAGTATGACTTCTTCTTGTCTCTGCTAGACTTTGGCACGAGGAGACGGCCGAACCGGAATATGGTTCGGCTGATGGAGGACCGGCCGTTCCTGAAGCCGGAGCTAGCTGTGGCCATGCAGGTACGGAGAGGTTCGGGAATGCGGGTATGGGGAGGGGTTTGGGAATGCGGGTATGGGAAGGTTTGGAAGGCTACGGAGAGGTTTGACAATGCAGGGATGGAGAGATTTGGCCATGAAGCTATGAAAAAATATATTGATTTTGGCAAGTGGGCTGCTGTTTGAGGAGAGGTTGAGTGATTTTTTATTTATAAGAAAGTTCAGCTTGCCTAGTGTGCGACCCTAGGCTCCCTCACTTTGTCCCCTTTCACCGCAATATCCCCTCCCCACCTTCCACCTCTTCTTCAGTCGGTACTCGAAATGCTTATTGAGGCCAAGGCCGTTCGCCCCGACTCATTAGTGATCGATGCAGGGGCGAGCATAGTGGGAGCGGCGTTTGCAGCAGCAGCCATGGGCGTGCGCGTGTTGGCGCTCGACCCTGTGCTGGCCAAGATGTGTGATGGGGGGGAAGGGGGCATTGGGGCAATTCGGTTCACTGCCCCCAGCACCCCTCCTCCCACACCCTGTGCCCTCCCCTCCCACCCCCTCTTGCAGTCGGTACTCGAGATGCTGATTGAGGCCAAAGCTGTGAGACCCGACTCTTTGGTCATCGACGCGGGGGCGGGCATAGGGGCGGCGGCGTTTGCAGCGGCAGCCATGGGTGTGCGCGTGTTGGCGCTCGACCCTGTGCTGGCCAACGTGCTCAAGATGTGCGATGCGGTGCATTTGAACCGGGTGGCAAAGAGAGTGAAGCTTCATTTGGCTGCCGTGTCAGACAGTGTGGGCAACATCACGATCCATAATGTAAGGCTGTGAACCCGCACCAGCATGATCATAAGGTAAGCCATGGGTGTGCGCGTGTTGGCGCTCGACCCTGTGCTGGTCAACGTGCTCAAGGTGTGCGATGCGGTGCACTTGAACCGGGCGGCAAAGAGAGTGAAGCTGCATCTGGCTGCTGTCTCTGACAGTGTGGGCAACATCACGATTCACAATGTGAGTTTCTGAGCCAGCATGAGCACTCACAAAGTGATTAAGCCTCTGATGAGCAGGGCTCAACCCTGTGTTAGCCAACGTGCTCAAGATGTGTGATGCGGTGCATTCGATTTCATCTTGCTGCTGTTCAGATACGACAGGCAGCATAACCATCCACAACGTGAGTCTGTGAACCAAACAGCACCATTCGTAACACTAGTCTGTTAATGAGATTTAACCTGTGCCGGCTAATGGTGTGGAGGTGGTGTCGGCCTAAAAGTCACCCAAAAGTTTCACATCTTGCGCGAGACGAGATGTGTGACTTTGGGTCGACTCCAATGCCACCTACTCCACCACCCCTTCCCTTTCCGTTGCCCCTCCCACCCAACCATGATCAGATCATATCCAACCATGATCAGATCATACACAGTGTTGCGGTAGCAGCAGTGCTCCATCTTCCTTGTTCCTTGCATCTTCCATCACAGACCGCTCTCACCCACCTGTTCCCCCATCATCCCTCCCCACCCACCCACACACTGTCAGATCCTATCCAATCTAGAGCACAGTGCAGTCACAGCAGCCGTGCTCACCCTCGCATCAAAAGATGCCCCTGTGATTCCCACCACAGTGGAATCCCTCCCTATAGACTCCCTCGTTTTACCAGACCAGCATGTGGCTGTATTGAAGGTGACTGTACAGGGGTGGGAGCTCCATGCTTTTAGGGGCGCTGCTGGGTTGCTCAGCCGCCCACCGAAAGAGGCGCCTTTTGTCCTTTATGAAGAGGACAGGATGTTGCTGCGGGCGGGGAACACGACGCCGGCTGCTGTGAGGGGGTATTTGGCGGGGTTTGGTTATAGTGAGTGTGACCAAGCACATGGGCTTGTGCACTGTAGGAAAAAGGGTTCTCTGCTTGATTCTTAAAGCGCAAATGTGTTTGATATCGTGTATGTAGCCAGTAATTGGTTTGGGTGACAAATGCTGTTTTGAGAAGGTGCCATACTGTACATGAATACATTTACCAAAATGATCGGTAGTTTTCTCGGAGTGTGCTCCATGCACCGGAATGTGGACTGGAGCAGTAGCAAACTGTAACAAATGTTCCAGGTTTCAGGTATAGGTTTGGGGTGATTTAAGAGATGTCCAGGGTTATGTGGGTGTGAGTGAGTGAGCTTTGATGTAGCCATCTTCCCAGCTCAACGATGGTGTGAGGGTATGGATATCTGATGATGTGCTCGTTTATCTCATGGTTTGTCATATTGATGTAAGGAGGTCCAACTTTCGTTCTAACGAGAATGGTTGACTCGTCTCATCCTCCTTCCTACCCACCACCCTTGCTCATTCCAACAAACACGAAGGCTGGTCTTTTGGCAAAGCCGTTACCGACGAGCTAGGCCTGCCCTCGGGTTTGTTGGTGGTGGTGAGATTCACTTGAGATGTTTTGGCTGCCCGACAATGACTTCAAGGAAGGGTTCTCCTCGAATCTTTCAGGGTCAGATGTTTTGAAACCGTTGCTCCAATACTTGTGCAATTCCTTATCATCCCATTGGTCTCCAACGATTGTCTGTTATTTCGCTCGCTGCAAACAGCTCCCTCGAGCTTCTGTCAGGGCAGGTGGGGATGCTTGGGTTGCATTGCGGTTGGAAACCACGTTTGAATCCCGCCCAGAAGCAACCAGCAAAATTGACGTTGTCCGCTTTGGCATGACGCAATCCGCCAATCTAATCATGGTCAATAAACGCCAGTGTGCCATCCCCCGTCAACAGTTGCTATCTGTCAATACGTTACCTCGCGACAGTGACCAACGTCCACTCCCGACGACTCACGACAGATTGCCAGCTGGAGTGCAGTGAAAGCAACCAGCTCAGTATGGTAACCAGCTTTGGCTGATTTAACAACCGTCATTTTTGTTGCAAGGCTACCCTATCGGCTGGAAATGGGGCCAATGACAAGCACAAGCACCAGAATGCTGAATTTCAGTCGATGCCCCAGGGAAGCGATAGCTGCAGAAATGAAGTGATCGATGATAATGTAGTTTCACAGGCTCCGAGCACATATGTTTCACAGCACATATGTCATTGTGGATTTTCTGCCACATTGACCCCATACGAAAAGCATACGAAAATCCATCCCCATAAATTCTCCATTGTTCGGCAAGAACAACAACGAACGGCATTTGAGAGCGGACCTCAACAGAATCTCGGGGTATGATCGCCTGAATTTTCCATTTTCCCCACGTGCTTGGGCATCAGCAATCACAAGAACAGCAGAAAGGATAACGCCGAGTTTGAACTGACCTGACCTGGCTTCGGTCGGATATCTCAGAATTGATGGCTCGAGTCAGCAGCGCTGCTTCTCCAATTTCCCGCCCCGCAAGCAAGGTCAGCTGCGCCGCAAATTCCTCCCCCTCCCAAGCATTTTCCCCGCGCCGCAAATCTCCTCGCCCCATAACTGATTCGGCATTTTCCAGCCTCAAAATCCCTCCGCCGCGATTTTCACCTGGAAAAACACTCTCTGCACCGCACTCACTCACCACCCTTGCATCCACATTTTCCCCACTGCGCTGCACCCGCGACTTCATCCTTCCGTTACGTCTTTATGTGCTTGTGGCATTCCCTGCCAACACCCATTCGAAGTCAGCTTTCCTTTTTGCCTTCATCGACATGACCGTGACAGCGACAAACTTACGCGTGAATTTTGTTTTTGTGATCGAGCCAGCTCAATCACAGTAACGACGCGTTATTTTGTTCTTCCATTGCAGTGAGTCCAGGCTTAGGAATTTAGAAACCACGGCCCCTAACACAATCGTTTCTTTCTCGAAGCCGACGCTGGAGCACGAAAGCGAGCTGGTCCAAGCAGCGGAGGTTTTGTCATGGCGCGACCGAACGATCCAAGACACCAATTCGCGCATTTTGAAATCGGCGAGCTGCTTTCGCGAATGTCAGAAAACGTGACAGAAAGTGACGCGAGCGCATCCGCTGCGCTCGCCTCCTCCGGAGCCGCGAGACGCATCGCGGTGCGGCTGCTCATCGGAGCAGGCGGAAGCGGCAATCTTGGCGGAAAGTTGAGCGGAAGCGGCGGAAGCGGAAACTTCGCAGCACTTTCCGGTCCCGTAGGGGTAACCAGTGGGGTTACCAGCGTCGCCAACAGCAGGCGTGGCGAGAGATCCATCACTAACGAAACCTCTGCAGCGGGCGGTGGAAGTCCCGACAGCCTCGCGGGGTGGGTATCGAATCCAAAGGACTCCCGAAGGAGACTTCCGCAGAAGTCGGTTTCTGAGAGCGTGGAACGCGGCACATCTTCCGGGACGACTGGAAGGAAAGGCCAAGCGAGCGCGTGGGAACAATGCGATGACCTGATGGTTGATTGGCTGGGCTCCGTGGCGGAATGTGGATCCTCGGACGAAGCGGGCGGGCCGGCGGGGGGCGCTGCGCAGGTTGCCGCTCCGCGGCGTGGCGCGCAGAGTGCGCAGCAGGAGGGCCGCGGGGGGGGGCGCGGGGCCCCGGGGGTGCAGGACGAGCGCGAGAGGCAGCGGGAGCGGAGCGGATTGGATCGGCGGAACTTACTCTCCGCGCGGGAACGAGAGTCTATCCCTCGCGTTTGCTCCGATGAGATCGCGCCGCGCCAGCTTTCGCGCACGAACAGCTGCATCGACCACTCGCGGCCGTTGACGGCGCAGCGCGAGAAGCCGCACAGCAGTTTTGACGGCGAGCGGGAGCGCGAGAGGGAAGCGGAGCGGGAGGAGAGGGGGCGAGTGAAGGGCGGAGCGCGCAGAGGGGGGAGCGCAGCGGCGCACGCGAATGGGGAGAGCGGAAGTTTGTCGCGAACGTCTAGCTGTATGTCGGTTGGCGGCGACGAAGTTCGGCGACTGGAGAACGAAATCGCTGTCTTGCGGCGGCAGCTGGTAACCGTCGGCCAAGCCAAGGCTGCCTTTGGCAACAGCGGTTCGGCAAGTGGCTCGGGCCAAGCCAGAGCGTGCCAGCATTCCGGGCCTCAGGCCGAGGCTCGGTCGCCGGAATGGCAGAGCATCGCAATGGAGGTGGTGGAACTGAGGGGTCAGCTAGAAGAGTTGTCTGACGCTAACGGGCGCTTAACGGAGCTGCTTGAAAGGAGGACGCAGGAGCTGGTCGCGACGAAAGAGGAGCTCATAACGGCCAAGGAGGAGCGCGACGCGCTGGCCAAAGAAATGGAGGCGCTGCTGGAATCCCTGTCAGCATCACCGCCCGCTGACGTGGCAAATACTGGCATGAGCGCCTCGCAGCAGCAACAGCAGCAGCAGAGGGTGCAGCAGGCGGAAGAGGAGGCGCGGCAGTTACAGTTACTACTCGAAACGGCCATGGCGGAGCGAGACATGGCTGTGCGCCTCGCTGCCGCCACAGGGAGACTCCCTGCGGGGCTCATTCCGTCTACCAGCGTTGGCAGCATAGCTCGTTCCTCCAGTGAAGAACCGTCGCCTCGCCTGCGCTTCACTCCCCTCGACGTCCGCTTCCGCACGTCAACCCTCAACTCGCGATCCAATTCCCCTTCGCCGGCTGCTTGCTCCTCCCCTTTCTCTCCTTCCATGAACTCCTACTCTCCCTCCGCCTCTTTCTCGCCTTCTGCGGCCTCCTTCTCTCCCTCCTCTTTCTCCCCTTCCAGCTCGCTTACTAACTCCCCCTCCTGCCTGTCTCCTGCCGGCCGCCCGAGCGCATACGCTCCGTCGCCGTTCCGCTCGCACAGCGAATCTAGTTCCGGCAACCGAGTTGACACCTTAGCCAAGTCATGGCTCGGCGCCGAGCCTGCGGGGCAGCCTCGGCATGGAATGATGAGGAGCTCGAGCCGGGGCCTGGTGACGTCAGCCATGCCAAGCATGGACCCTGGTAGTCCTTCTGTTAATGCTGGATGGAGGGGAGCGGCGAACGGGGAGGTGCATGTGGGGAAGGGGCACCTGAGGCGGACTTCAACTGCAGGAGGCGCCATTGAAGCCAGGCGTGTGTTGGAATCGCGATCGCCCATTTCGATGAGCCGACCTGGAAGTGCTGATATAGGTGCGCTGCAGCAGGGGGCAGAGCATGCTGTGGGGAGCAAGGTTGCAGAGAAAGGGGTGAAGAAAGGGGGACTGAAGGGTATACTTTCACGCAAGTCCAAGCAAGTGAGATGGTCGTATGACTTCGACCAAGAAGGCGGTTTGTGAATAAAAGCTCAGGGAGCGTGACAAAGGTCATGGTTCCTATGATTTTTTGGCGGTTGCACACAAGAGATGCGGCTGCTTTGATATCCTGACTCCTTTACAATATATTCGTTTGTTTGTTTACTGATAAATTCATTTATTTGTTTGACAGTTTGGCTGCACACGTTTTAGACTAAGTTTTTTCGCGTTTCCTACGGCAGTTTCTCTATAGCGAACACTCCCATACAGTTGTATTTCAACCTCCAACGGATTCAGAAGGGCGAAAGCAGACGAGCCAGCATCACTAACGCCTCAACCTCACAGACAGACGTCACATCCCAGTCACGCCACGTTGGATCCAAGCTTTCCCCCACACAATGCGCTTCGGAGGAAAAGGTCAAACCTTAGCTGTGCATATGTCGCCTAAATCAATTCGTTCGTTTGTACTTGGCGAAGATTCCTGTTGTAACCCGTTTCCCGTGTGCAACAGGATTTGCGAAGATGTGCGGAGCGCAACACACATCGAATTATCATTCGCCAATTTCTCCCTGAGTAAGGTAACAGCTCAAGGTTTTGCCCATCAGTATCACCCAGCTGCTCCCTTCTGTGCTCTGTTGATTCGCGCCACATGCATCTGACCTGCAATACCCAAATGGTAAGCAGCTAAAATCTGCGTGCTGGGCTTCTGTGTCCGCAGGATTACATTCCGTCTCGTTCCCTCCGTCTCCCTCGTTCCGGCTGACACGCTTCGCCCCCTCAACGTTTCGCAATTTGCGCGAGTGGTTGAGCTGCGCTTGCGAGTCATTCGGAGCTGCCAGAGTTTTATTCTTTGCGCGGGTCACTTTTGAGAATTCTCGCGACGTTTGTTACAAGGAACGCTTGCGAAGTCATCCGCAGCTGCCAGACCGATAAAATTTAGTCCGCCGGTGCGCCATGATTCGATGGGTGCTTCAAGCTCGAGCCGCGAGCGCTCGCTCTCGCGTGCTCGCGACGCGTTCACGGCTCGGAGTCGCGATTCCGCCCAGAGTCACGGGAGACTTCCCGCGGTCGTCTCGCTTCCGCGCATCCCATCACTCGCCCGCCTCCGCTCCGCCGCCCTCCGCGGGATTCGCGATTCCCCCCGCGACCCTTGCCGCCGGGGTGGGCAGTGCTTCCGCCACTGCTTCTCCCCCCGCACGCGCCTCCCCCTCCGCTGCCCCCTTTTCCACCATCCCCGCTTCCGCCCGTTTCTCCACCGCCACTCGCAACCCTTCCGCTGCCTCCACGCCCGCTGACGCATCCTCCTCCGCCGCCGCTGCCCCCGCCGCTTCCCCCGCGCCCCCCGCTTCCGCCGCGTCCGTCGGCGCTTCCGCCGCTCCCCGCGCTCCCCCCGCCCTCGTGTCCATCTCGACGGTCCTCGTGGCGAATCGCGGTGAAATAGCGTGTCGCGTGATGCGCACATTGAAGCGCCTCGCGATTCGCTCAGTGGCCGTGTACAGTGACGCGGACCGCGACGCGCTCCACGTGCGCTCCGCTGACGTTGCGTTCCGCGTGGGACCCGCCGCGGCGCGAGAGAGCTACCTGCGGGGCGACGCGATTTTGGATGTCGCGGAGAGATGCGGGGCGCAGGTGAGTTGGGGGGAAGGGAGAGAAAGCGGCGCGCAGGTGAGTTGGGGGAGAGGGGGAGAGAGGGTGAGTTGTTGTGGCGCGCAAGTGACTTGGGGGGCACCCCGCCTCCCCGTTTTTCTCTCCCCACTCTGGTCCTCCTCCTCCTTTCCCCTTTTCCCGATTATCTACCCCCCTCTCCCACCTCTTGAGGCCATTCACCCCCGCTACGGCTTTCTCTCAGAGAAAGGCGCCGTTGCCACAGCCATGCCTGCCCCCCTTCCCCTCCGCACCCACCCCTTCTGTTCCCCAGACACAACCCCCCTTCCCCCACTTTACCCCCCTTTCCCCACACACCCTTGAAGCTATTCACCCAGGCTACGGCTTTCTCTCGGAGAACGCCGGCTTTGTTGCAGCGTGCCAGCAGAGAGGAGCTCCTCCCCCTCTCCTACTTCCCCCCCTTTTTCCCACCCCCTTCCCCCCTCTCCCACCCTTGAAGGCCATTCAGGTTCACCCAGGCTACGGCTTTCTCTCGGAGAAAGCCGACTTTGCTGCAGTGTGCCAGCAAGGGGTATCAAATTCGTCGACTCTTTTCAGTCATGTGCGCTCCATCGGAAGTCCATACGTCAGTCATGTGCAAATGCCTTCTCCCCCTCTCCCCCTCTCCCCTTCTCCCCCTCTCCCCCTCTCCCCCTCTCCCCCTCTCCCCCTCTCCCCCTCTTCCCTCTCCCCTCTCCCCTCTCCCCTCTCCCCTCTCCCCTCTCCCCTCTCCCCTCTCCCCTCTCCCCTCTCCCCTCTCCCCTCTCCCCTCTCCCCTCTCCCCTCTCCCCTCACCCCTCGCCCCTCTCCCCTCTCCCCACCTGGCAGGCCATTCACCCCGGCTATGGCTTTCTCTCAGAGAACGCGGATTTTGCTGCGGCGTGCAAGCAGAGGGGCGTGGAGTTCATTGGCCCGCCGCCCAGTGCCATACGAGCCATGGGGGATAAGAGGTGAATATAGTGAAGGGGGAGAGGAATTTGCTGGTATTAATTGTGATTATTCTGAGTACATTTAGAACACTGCTTGCCTTTACACTCCACTAACTCTCCCTTTCCTCCTGTATCCCCCCACTTCCTCCTCCCTCCCACCGCAACCCCCCACCCCCCTCCCCACGCACCCCTCTCCTTCCCGCCCTTCCCCCCCTCCAGTGCGGTCAAGGAGCTGATGACGTCCCTTCCCCCCCGCCATCCCTCTCTTACCTCCCATAACCCTCCCATTTTCCACACCTCTTCTCCCCCCCCTTTTCTCAACCTTCCCCCTCCTTCCAGTGCGGCCAAGGAGCTGATGACGTCAGCAGGGGTGCCGGTGGTCCCGGGGTACCACGGCGAGGACCAATCAGAGCAGTTCTTGCAGGAGGAGGCAGGGCGGATCGGGTACCCGATTCTGATCAAGGCCACGCAGGGGGGCGGGGGGAAGGGCATGCGCATAGTGCATCGCCCTCAGGACTTCCTTCCCAGCCTGGCGAGTGCAGCGAGGGAGGCGGCAGCATCGTTTGGCAATGGCCGGGTGTTGTTGGAGCGGTATATTCAGAGGCCCAGACACATTGAAGTGCAGGTACGGTGATAGGTTTGGTAACTCAAGTTCGGTAATAGTGCTTAAAAAAACTGCTAGGGGCAGGTGCTGCTGGAGGTATAATTTTGAAAGCCGAGGCACATTGAAGCGCAGGTAGGGTTGCAGGTTCGGTGGTGCAGGTTCGGTGGTGCAGGTTCGGTGGTGCAGGTTCGGTGGTGCAGGTACGGCCCTTCCTTTTACCCACTCCCTCCCGTCTCTCCCCTCTCCATTTTCCCACTCCCTCCCGTCTCTCCCCTCTCCCTTTTCCCACTCCCTCCCGTCTCTCCGCTCTCCCTTTTCCCACTCCCTCCCGTCTCTCCCCTCTACCTTTTCCCACTCCCTCCCGTCTCTCCCCTCTCCCTTTTCCCACTCCCTCCCGTCTCTCCCCTCTCCCTTTTCCCACTCCCTCCTGTCTCTCCCCTCTCCCTTTTCCCACTCCCTCCTGTCTCTCCCCTCTCCCTTTTCCCACTCCCTCCTGTCTCTCCCCTCTCCCTTTTCCCACTCCCTCCTGTCTCTCCCCTCTCCCTTTTCCCACTCCCTCCTGTCTCTCCCCTCTCCCTTTTCCCACTCCCTCCTGTCTCTCCCCTCTCCCTTTTCCCACTCCCTCCTGTCTCTCCCCTCTCCCTTTTCCCACTCCCTCCTGTCTCTCCCCTCTCCCTTTTCCCACTCCCTCCTGTCTCTCCCCTCTCCCTTTTCCCACTCCCTCCCGTCTCTCCCCTCTCCCTTTTCCCACTCCCTCCTGTCTCTCCCCGCACAGGTCTTTGCGGACAAGCACGGCAGCGTGGTGCATCTGTTCGAGAGGGACTGCAGCGTTCAGCGGCGGCATCAGAAGATCATTGAAGAGGCCCCTGCTGTAAGAAGCGGCGCATGCAGGCACTCTCACATTCAGCACACACACGCACGGCCACATGCGAGGTCTTGATATCCCCACTGCCTTGGATGGGAGGGACTGCAGCGTGCAGCGGCGGCACCAGAAGATCATTGAAGAGGCGCCTGCTGTAAGCACCACAACACACTCACACGCCGTCACTCACTTGTACACATCCCCTTCAGCCCACTGTAAGCACGCTCACATGCACACACGCACGCACACATCAGTACCAGAAAATGGTCAAAGAGGCGCCTGTCGCAAGCATGCACCCTCTTGGATACCCTCCTTTCCACCACCCCCAACCGCACCTAAAACCTGAACGCTCTCCTCTTCCCCTTGCATCTCTCAGTCCTCCCCTTTGATACGGTTACGCACTTCGACTTCCATCTGACGCCCTTCACCCACACACAGCCGCCCTTCCTTGCTTATCAGGGCATGTCGGTCCATGTCAACCCTTATCATGCTTATCACTCTTACCGTTGTTATCATTTTTTGCCTTGACTGAAGCACCTTCCCTCCTAGCCCCCACCCTGTCCCTTAAGCCAGGCTTATATTTGTAGTGTTCTGGCTGATTTGTTAGGGAAGTTTGGAAAAATGTTTCCACTCTCCCCCCTCCCTTCACCCACTTGTTTCAGCCAGGCATATCCGCGGAGTTCAGGGAGAAGATCTGCTCCGCTGCTGTTGACGCTGCCAAGGTGGGGCGGGGGAACATGCGGGAGGAGGGGGAGGGGGAGGGGGGGTGAAAGAGAGAGTGAGGCAGGAAGAGGGGTTAAGGAGGGAAGGGAGTTCAGGGAGAAGATCTGCTCTGTTGCTGTTGACGCTGCCAAGGTGGGGTGGGGTGGGGGAAAGAGGGGGACCGGGGAAAGGGGGGAATAGGGGGACAGGCGGGGGAGAGGGGAGGGGGAGTCAGGGTGTTCGGGGAGACGATCTGCTCCACTGCTGTGTGCTTGGGCTTTTGTCATTCTTACGTCACCCTTCCATCCCTCTCCTGGTGCATGCACGAGTGCAGGCGGTGGGGTACGAGGGAGCAGGCACGGTGGAGTTCATAATCGACTGTGACAGTAACGAGTTCTTCTTTATGGAGATGAACACGCGCCTGCAGGTGAGTTGACAGTGTGCCGTGTACCGTGAGTGTTGTGCCATGTGTGTGCATGCACGAGCAAGGGTGTGACACTAACGACTTCTTCTTTAGGGAGATAAACACAAGGCTGCGGGTAAGGTCACTCGTGCATGTGTGCCGTGTGTGTGCCGAGGTGTGGGGAAAAGGGATTGGGAAACGCAACTGCGGCTCCCCATCACCCTCTTCTCCTGCCCTTCCCTCTCCCCTTCACCGCAGGTGGAGCATCCAGTTACAGAAATGGTGACAGGGCAAGACCTAGTGGAGTGGCAGGTGCGGGTGGCACAACGGGAGCCCCTCCCCCTCGCCCAGGGGGACCTTCATCTCACTCTTACCCTCCTCATCTGCTCCACTCACAGGTCGAACACCCAGTAACAGAGATGGTAACAGGGCAAGATCTCGTGGAGTGGCAGGTGCGCGTGGCACGAGGGGAGCCCCTCCCGCTCGCCCAGGGGGACCTGAAGCTCACAGGGCACGCCTTTGAGGCGCGGGTCTACGCTGAGAACGTTCCCAGAGGCTTCCTGCCGGCTGCTGGCCCGCTGCTGCACCTGCGCACTCCGGAACCCTCGGCTTGTGGTGGGTTGGGGAGGGGGTTCAATGTGATTGTAATGATGGGTGTGGTGAGTGTGATTGTAACAAAATATGGAGCTGGATGCTGCATGTTGGGCTCCTTCAAGTTGCGTGATCTTCCCAGTTGAGTCCACGCAAGACGACACTAACGGAATGTTACGATGTGTAAAAGGGATACTCAATCCTGAACAAGGCGATGCAATACGAGCGGAACGGAACAACTTGTCGTTCCGCGATTTTGAGTATGACATCATTCACGCTGGAGGGGTTGCTGTACGGAGCGCGTGAGGTTGCCTCTATGGAAGTTGTGACAAGGCAATCTCACGCACTACGCACGGCATCCTCTTCAGCACAAATGATGTTATCGTAGAAATCGTGGAACGACAGGTTGTTCTGCTTTGTTTGTATTGCATTGATTTTCTTTTCGGGATTGGGTATCCCTTTTAAACAGCGTAACAATTTTTCAGTGTTGTCTTGCGTGGACTCAACTGTGAAGATCACGCGACTTAAAGCACCCCAACAGGCAGCTCCTCCATCCAGCTGCAGTGGCTGTGTTTCATTCCCTCCCCCTCCCCCATCCCCCCTTTCTCCCTTTCCCCTCTGTCCCCCATTTCCTCCGTCCTCCCTCCCCTCCTATCAGTCCGGGTCGAAACGGGAGTCCAGGAGGGCGATGACGTCAGTACGTTCTACGACCCAATGATAGCCAAGCTGGTGGTGTCAGCGGCCAGCCGCAGCGCAGCATTACAGCTGCTGCGGCAGTCCCTAGGGCGGTACGAGGTGGCGGGCGTGCCGACCAATCTCGCGCTGCTCCAGGCTGTCGCGTGCCACCCGGGATTCGAGCGCGCTGACGTGGACACACACTTCATTCAGCGCCACCACGACGAGCTGATGACGTCACCAGTGGCGTCAGCGGCAGCAGGGGGAGGGGTGGTGGGATCGGCGGAAGCAGGAGCAGCAGCAGGGGGAGGAGGGGCAGGAGCAGGAGCAGGAGCAGGGGAAGGGGGAGCAGCAGGGGGGGGGGAAGGGGCGAGAGGAGTGGAAGGAGGTGGGGTCAAGTCGCTGCCCTTAGGTGGGGCAGAAGGCGCAGCAGTGGCAGGTATGGTGTGCCAGTGTGTGGTGGAGAGATGGAGGGAACAGGGGGTTGCATCCCCCCCTTCCCCCTGGTCCTCCGCCTCTGGGTTCCGCCCCAACTACTTCTACTCCCGCCCCTTCGCCCTCTCCCCCTGCCTGGGGGGAGGTGGGGGCGCGGAAGGGGAGGGGGACGAGGGGGAAGAGGGGGAAGAGGCGGAGGAGGGGGAAGGGGGGGCAGAGGGGACGGGTAAGGAAGGGGCGGTGGAGGGGTGGATGAGGTATGAGCAGGATGGGAGCTTCACGGTTGGGCTGGCGGATGGGAGACACGTGGCAGCCTCTGGTTGGGTGGTGGATGGAGAGGGGCGGCGGGTGGAGGTGGAGGTTGGTGGGGAGAGGAGCCGCGTGTCGTTCTTCCAAGAAAGCATGGTGAGTGGGAGGCAATAGGGGTGGAAGGGGTAAAGGGGTGAGAGGGGATAGAAGTGGGGTTGGAATAAGGGGGTGGTAAGGGAAGGCATGGGGGGGATGGAAGAAACGTGGTTCCCCTTTTCCGCCTTTCCCCCTTCTTGAGCTGCTCGTCTTCCTCATCCCGTTCTCCCCTAGCCCTTTTTCACCTCGTCTCCAAGCCCCTCCTCAACCCTCCACCCCTCCACCCGTTCACCCCACACCCCACAATCAGCCGGACAGCATCACCACCCACGTGTGGGTGAGCGGCCACCACCACCAGTTCGCCTCCCCCTGCCCCTCCGTCACCCCCTTCCCCCTCGACGACCACGATGACTATGACGACACACATGGGCACGGGCAGAGCCATGGGCACGGGCAGAGCCATGGGCATGCACATGGGAGGGGGGTGGTAATAGCGCCGATGTCAGGGCGCGTGGTGCGGGTGGCATGTGGGGAGGGCGCGTCTGTGCGCAAAGGGGATGTGGTGGTCATTCTCGAGTCAATGAAGATGGAGGTGAGATTTTGCCTTGGAGGTGAGCTGGAGGAGCGGTGATGTGTGGTGGTGTGTGGTGGTGTGTGGTGGTGTGTGGTTGTCCTCGAGTCCATGAAGATGGAGGTGAGATCTGTATTCTAAAGTGCTCCTATCCTTTGCATAACGAGTTGACCTGTGGCGTGTCACACTTCCCCCACCCAACCGCCCCGTTCCGTATTGTCATATCATCATATAGTCCCATCTCCAATCCACAAAGTTTCCACCTGTTACTTCAACCCCCGCCTCCCTCCTTCTCCTCCCCCCTCCCTCATGTCCCCTCTCTCCCCCACACGAGCAGCATTCGGTGAAGGCACGCCAATCAGGTGTATTAGCAGACGTGAGAGTGGCAGTGGGGCAGCAGGTGGCGGACGGCATGCCTCTCTTCCGCGTGCTGCCACCAGAACAAGCAGCGTAAACCTAGCCATGCTGCCCCTACAGTGGCTAGTGGAATGGGAATGGTTCGGGATGGGGGGCTGGGGAGCTGCAGGTGGCAGAAAGCATGAGTCTCTTCCAGGTGTTGCCTCGAGAGGAGGTTTCCCCACTCTTGCTTGCTGCCCCTACGGTGGCTAGTGAAGTGGGTAGGGTGAGGGATGGTGGGTAGTGGTTTTGTGGATAGCTGATTGCATGCTGCTGCACTGAGCCTCTGGCTGGGCCTCGCTAGAGAAGTTTTTTGGTAGTACCCCTCATTGCAATTCTGCAAGCCGTGTTTGCTTTGAGGATTGTCCGTGATGGGGAAACGCAGGTTGTGCTTGCTGTAAAGACATGTTTGCTAGTGTATATAATGTATTATTTGATTTTACTCTTTTGGCAGTGAGGAGAATGGGCTTAGACATTTGGGTGGGTCCAGCTGCAGAATAGATGGAAAATGAGCGATATTTGGCGAATGAAATCAGGAATGAAGAAATCGTCATTATATTGTCAGATACCTCTTTCATATGCAAAAGTCATGGATATCCTTTGCGTTTATATATTTCTGCAAAATGCTATAGTTCACATTTTACTCCTCACCATTCACGAACTTCTCAGTAACGGGTAATCGGTGGAACAAAGAATATCGCGATGCAGGGCCACATCAAAGTCAACTCTGTTCCAACAAGTACACGCCACGGCACGCCGGGTGGCGAAGCTCCGTGGATGGCGCTGGGGTAACCACGCGGTGTCGTCAGTCAAAAGTCCGTCGCCGAGAATTTACGAATTTCGAGATCGCCGGCGCGTCTCGGCTGCTTTCAGGGATTCATCATTACTCCATCTGTCCAGCAATCTAAACGCGTTTGTCCGCCGGGAAAATCAAGAGCATTTCTCACAGCCATAAACGTAGCACTGAGTTCTGAATCTGCTTCACTCTAACTACCTCCTTCCGCATTGTACAGCCTCGCGTCGCCACGCGCTCAACTAACTACGAAGCGTCGGCTTCCTGCGCGCCATTTTTTTCTTCTTCGCGGTAAAAACTGTGTTGTTGTTTACCTACTCGCAAGCCCACCTACCAGAAAACGAAAACCGTTATTGAAAAAAACGGCCCCCCTGTAGCGCCCCGCCATAGCAGCTCCCTATCATCCCCAGCCTCTAGCTTGAAGCCCGCGGATTCCACTCGGATTTGACCCGTCCGGCGTCGCACAATGACGGGCAACTCCAGATTCCTCCTCGCCATCGCGCTTCTCTTTTCGTCCACGTGTCAATGCCTCGCGATTCGACGAGCTCACCGTAAGCCACGTCACTACGTCCTGCTATCAACTATCCCCTGCATTTCTTGACCCTGGTCGCACTAATCTCATCACTCAAACATTGGATTCCGCAAGCATTCCTTTCCCACCTGCATCTCTCCCCGGCCTCCCCCGCCCTCCGCCTCCCGCAAAACGCAGCTCCTGTTCCTGAGTCCACGTCACTCTACATCGTGCGCCTGCGCTCCGCGCTCCCCCTCGCCGCTTATCGCGGCGGAATCGCTAGATTCTCGGGATGGAAGGACGGCGATGACGATGATGATGCGGGTCCGTCAGGTCTGCGCGCGACGGCGGCGACGGTGGCGCACGAGGCGGCGACGCTGGGCGGCAGCATTCCGCGGCGCGCGCGGCTGAGCATGGACAACCCGCAGCTCCAGGATTACGCGCAGATGCTCGAGACGCAGCAGGCCCAAGTCGCGTCTGAAGTGGGCGTGAAGTCAGAACACATCGTTTACAAGTACGTATGGGAAAGACTGTCATGAGTGAAAATAGCGGCTCGCCGCGTGTTTGAGATCCATCCATGGCTTTCTTTCCCAAGCCCTCCTTTCCCTTTCCTATCCTCAATTCCCCCTGCACCCCTCCCCCTTCCTCCCTCGCTCGTCTCTCCCCCAGCTACATGCACGCGAGCAACGGGTTCGCAGCGTCCCTCTCCCCGCAGCAGGTGAGGCGGCTGGAGCGACACCCGGCAGTGGCGGCAGTGACTCGCAGCCGCAGAGTAACCCCTCTCACCACCGACTCGCCCACCTTCCTCGGAATGCGCGCCCCCGGGTCGCTGTGGCCCGCCAATGGCGGGCAGGGGAAGGCGGGAGACGGCATGGTGATAGGAGTGGTGGACACGGGTATCTGGCCGGAACATCCCTCCTTCAGCGATGCGGGTTTCTCCTCCTCGAAACCCGCCGGCTGGTCGGGGAAATGCGACACGACGAGCGAGTTCAAGTGCAACAATAAGGTCATCGGCGGAAGGGCGTTCTACAAGGGCTTTAAAAAGTCCAACGGTGATCCGGACCTGTCTTCGGATTGGTTGTCTCCTCGGGATTCGCATGGCCACGGCACATGGTGTGCAAGGTACGTTGCTTGACTGCCCTCAGGTTTTGAGATGTCAAAGGATTGACCTTTACATGTGAGCTGGCATGCTTAAGCCTTCAAACCGCAACCAGATGCATTGCCCCCCCCCCGTTCACTCGGGTTTTGACATGTCATGGTGACTCTGCTCACTCTCTCTCTATCCTCCTACCTATCATTCCCCACCCCTCTCCCACCCACACTTCCCTGCAGCGCGGCAGCGGGCAACAAGGACGTGCCCATGGCGGGCGGCAAGGCGAGCGGCATGGCGCCAGCAGCGCGCCTGGCAATGTACAAGGTTCTCTGGTACTCTGAAGGCTCTCTTACCGGGACATGGGCCGACATCGAGGCGGCAGTCAACCAGGCGGTAGCGGACGGTGTGGATGTCATCTCGATCTCGCTGGGCGGCATGGATAGTAAGGAGACATACTTCGACCACATGACGTATCTCAGTGCTAACCTGGTGCGTTTACTTACAGAACTGTGTCTGCCATAAGATGTATCTCGGTCCCAATCTAGTGCTTCCCCTGCTGCTGCCCGCTGCTGCCCGCTGCTGCCCCTCCTCCCCGTCTCTCCCCGCCTGCCTTTCTCTCTCCTCGATGATGTCTGCTGCACTTCACATCTTCGAATGCCTCCATGCTTCCAGCACACCAGCCATCACCTCGCACTCACACTTTGTTTGCGTCCCTCCCTCTCCCTTTCTACCTCTCCTTCTCCTTGCTGGTGCAGGCTGGCGTGTTTGTGTCATATGCAGCGGGAAATGCTGGCTCGCCAGGCTACTGGGATCCCGGGTACTTCCGCACAATCGACAACTTCTCGCCCTTCTATCTCACCGTGGGGGCTAGGTGAGCCTCCCTGCCCCTCCTCCTCCCTCTCTCCCTCTCTCCCTCTCTCTCTCTCTCTCTCTCTCTCTCTCTCTCTCTCTCTCTCTCTCTCTCTCTCTCTCTCTCTCTCTCTCTCTCTCTCTCTCTCGAACGGTCCATTGTATTAGTATCACCAGGGTACACACAAGGTAAGGCCACATCTACACATAGCCAAGCTTGCAGCAGATCTCCACAATCTAGCACCGCTAGGAACCGTTTCCCCTTCCGGCTCTAGTAGCCGGAGGGGTCTTCAACTAGTTGGTACAGTTGGCCCTCGCTCAGTGGGGTAAAAGGGCCCTGCAAGCCGAGCACATCCGACGTAAGGGCCTCATGGGTCTTAACCCTGAGGGCATTGGCCTGGGCTCTCTGCAAAGTCACGCTCCATCGCTGCCGGTATTCGGTAAGGAGCTTGGCAACCTCCCTCGACTTCGGAGCGGCGTTGAACCGCCGCTTGCCCGCTAGCTCTGCGCAGCTGCGGATGAAGTCGAGGACTCCCGGTGAGGGGTAGCCGTATGTCTCAACTGCCATGGCGTAAAAGCCAACCCAAGCGCTCCGCCCGGTGTATTTGCTCTCTCTCTCTCTCTCTCTCTCTCTCTCTCTCTCTCTCTCTCTCTCTCTCTCTCTCTCTCTCTCTCCCTCCCTCCCTCCCTCCCTCCCTCCCTCTCTCAGATTCATTTAAAAGTTTCTTCCTCACTGCCTGCTTACATCCCGCTCTCTATCTTGCCGTACTCTCCCCTCTCCCTCCCCAATTCCTCCACCCAGCACCATAGGCCGTGGCGGATTAACCCTCAAGGCCACCACAGCAGTAGCAGCAGCTCTCAGCAACTCATCCTCCTCAGCAGCCACAGCCTTCCCATCCATCGCCGAATTCTCCTCCACAGGCCCCCTCCAAGACCCTTCCACCGATGCCACCGGAGCTCTTCCTACCAACAGCATCTTAAAGCCCGACATTGTCGGCCCGGGCGTGGATCTCTATGCTGCCGCCCCGGGCTCAAAAATCGGGAAGCCGGGCAGCTTCGCACAAATGTCCGGGACGTCGATGGCAACGCCTCACTTGGCGGGCATTGCTGCTCTCATCATGCAGAAGCACCCCTCGTGGAGCCCCGCGCAGGTCATGTCCGCCATTTTGACCACCGCCAAGACCACTGACACCAGCGGTGCTGCTATCAAGAACGGTTATGGTGAGGTTGCTACTCCGTGGGATATGGGCGCTGGTCACGTGTTCCCTCGCAAGGTGCTGGATCCTGGGCTTACGTTCGACGCTCGAGCAGCTGCGTATCGGAATTTTCTTGCCGGGCAGAGCATGAAGCGGGCACAGAGGCACTTTCCGAATAGCAAGCTTACTGCAGTTGCTCCCCGTGAGCTGAACCGTCCGAGCATCTCAATCTCTCGGTTGAAAGGGATGGTGACAGCAAACAGGACGGTGACAAGCGTAGCTGATACAGTGTCGACATATTCAGCGAACATCAAGCCTCCTAATGGAGTCTCGGTCACGGTTTCACCCGACAAATTCACAATTGCTCCGGGTAAGAAGGTCACTTTCACGGTGACCTTCAAGGTGACTAAGACCTCTAACAACACTCAGTTTGGAAGCCTGACATGGGGCGATGAGAAAGGGCACTCGGTGAGAATGGTGCTTGCTGTCCACCCCTTACAAAAGTGAGTGTGAATTTGAGTGGTACCTTGTATAATCTTAGGAGAACAATATGAGTGGTTGGATTCTTGTTGCTGTTTTAGTGTAAGTGTCATATTACTCGATGCGTCAACTTAGTGTGATGTTGAGTGACAATTCCTTCAAGGGTGATTTTTGCTCCTCATCCAAGCCTTGGAGAAACACCAACGCCTTTCACAGCGAAAAGCCAGTTACGGTAGCATTTTCCAAGATGCACACAACTGTGAGAATGGATGATCGGAATGCACACAAATGGCGAACTGGGGACGGACACCGGAAACGGCAACTCAAAAACGCCAAGGATATGAAAAGTTTAGATAAAGAAGTATCCTTTATGTTTGGATGGAGGCAAAACTTACCAACAAGATGACGTATATGTAGATAATCTTAGTAACGCGATTGTGAACACTTTTCACTCCTCATCGTTAATGAAATTTCCAGTACCAGGCTTAATCGCCGCGCGAAGAAGAATGCGATGCTCGCGAGCAATAGCGGCTCCAACTCCCAAACCGGCAGACCCGTCTCGATATTTAACTACGCCAGCACACCCCTTCCGGTCACCACCTCACCAATCAGAGACGCAGCAAACCCTATCTGCGCCATGCGCCCCACGAAGAGTTCGTTCGCCTTGGTGAACCCAAACAGCGGCCCGTCCTCACTCAGCCCAAGCGCCGACTTGATGCTCCCGGGCTTCACGGCCGGCCCCGCCGGCTCGTCGTCCACGAATTGACCGCGATCGCCCAGCCCGCCGATCGCGCCGAGCACGGTGAATGCGATGAAGAAGAGGAGAAGCGGCTCGGCTTCCGTGATCGGAATGCAGGTTTCGAGATTGAGCTGCGAGAGAATGCCCTGCCCCGTGACGGCCTCGCCGAGGAGCGACGCGGCGAAGCCGAGCATCGCGACGCGCCCCACAAAGAGCTCGTTGGCATTCGTGAAGCCGAACCCGCCCGACGTGTCGAAAATTCCATCCTCTGTTCGGAGCTGCTTCTTAACGGGGACGTTCTTAGTGGGAGCGGCAGACCTGCTAGAATTCAGGAGGGCGGAAACGCCAAGCCCGCGAGGGGCGATCGGGGCGGCAGCTACTAGACTGCGAGTGGAGAGAGCTGTGCCCTTCACTGCGGAGCTGAAGGAGAGAGCGGCGACGGCCATTGAGAAAGTGTGTGTGGGGAGGCTGGTGGAGAGTTTGAGAATAAAAAAAGTAGAAGCAGTGGAATGTAGAGGTGTGAAGGCTGGATCGTTGAAATGATAACGAGAAAGGCTCCTCTCATTTTATGTGTCTTGAACAATGTCAAGTCACGAATCAGAACAGAGCGCAACTGCTTGAGAAAAACCCACATTAAAAAAATGACAATCAAATTGGGTAATTAACTTTTGGGTCGACCAACATCGAGACTGCTGATGACCGTAGTACGCCACGTGGCTAGATGGTACCCATCAGATCTTACGCGCCCCTTCGTGGTACCCATCTTCCCTCCGTGGTTACCATTTTCCCTGCGTGGTCACCATCAACACTGAGCAAATTTCATAACTGGTACCGCAACATTTCAACCGAACTGTACACCGTACAACAAGCCGTACAAGAAGTGACTGTGGGGAAAGGGACTACACTAAGGGTGATGTTGGGAACGGCTGCAAACCGTGGATGGAGGATCAAGCAGATGGACATCACAACTGCTTTCCTCAATGGGATCGTCCTAGAGGATCTGTACATGCTGCAGCCTGAGGGGTTGGATGATGGGAGCGGCAGGGTGTGCAAGCTCAAGAAGGCCATCTATGGCCTGAAGCAGGCTCCTCGCGCATGGTACCACAAGCTGGAGGAGACACTGCTGGCTGGGGGGTTCAAGAAGAGTGAGTGTGATCACAGCTTGTTCCTGCTGCAAGAGAAGGAGCAGTTCCTCATGCTCCTGGTGTATGTGGATGCCATCCTTCTCTTCTCTGAGTCATCTGCAATGATTGAGCGTGTGGAGGAAATGCTAGAGATGCAGTTCAAGTGCTCGAAGATGGGAGATGTGAAGTATTACCTTGAGATGCATGTGGAGAGAGACCTTGACAAGGGAGTGTTGAGGTTGCGCCAGAGGAAGTACTGTGAGGTGCTGGCTGAGAAGTATGGGGTGCAAGATGGAGGAAAGCCAGCCACCCCACTACCTTCGGGTTTCACTGTGGAGCCCTGTGCTGATGAGGAGGTGGTGGGTGAGAGCGACAGGAAGCTATTCCATTTCATGGTTGGGGCACTCAACTATGCGGCGAACCACACACGGCCTGACATTGCCTTTGCTACATCCAGGCTTGCCAGTGTGGTCTCACGCCCCAGTCATGAGCAGCTAGAAGCGGCCAAGAGGTTGGTCCGCTATGTGAGTGCTACCGCATGTGTGGGTTTGGAGTACAGTGCTGTGAGGCAAAGGCAGCAACGGGGTGCTGCTGATTTGGGCAAGGGGGAGATGCTCTTGACTTGCTACACCGATGCCAGCTTCAACTTTGTGAAGGCCGATGGCACCAGCATTGGAGGCTATGTGGAGGTGGTGCAGTAAGCTGGCGCAGCAAGAAGCAAAATGAGGTGGAGCTGTCCTCGTGTGAGACAAAGTACATGGCTCTGCATCATGGGGCTAAGGAGGTGGTGTGGCTGAGGCGTTTGTTGGAGGAGATCGGAGTGTGCCAGAAGGAGCCGACTGTGATTTTTTGTGACAATGAGTCTGCTGTGAAGCTTGCGAAGAATGCTTGTCTTCATGGCCTGACAAAGCACATCAGGCCAAATTGGCATTGGACGAGGAGGCTCTTGGACAAGGAGATGTGGTTGGAGATTGTGAAGACCCATCAGCAGGCGGCTGACATTCTCACCAAGCGCCTGGCTGAACCTGAGCACTGGAAGGGCATGAAACTTGCTGGGATGAGTGTGCATTGATTGTGCATGCATGAGCTGAGGCATGTGAGGTGATGGTAGGCAGCCAGAGGGGGAGTTTGTTATGTGATGCTATCATTTGCATTCACGTCTGTCTGCCTCCCATCATATGTTCGTGCGTTGCATGTGTGGTGTGTGCAAGAATCTGTATTTGGCGTGGTTTGGATTTTCTGAGTGTGTGTGAATGCTATTTGGCTTGGACAGATATCTGAATTGACTCCTCTGCTCAAGAGATTTCCGACGAACCAATAATCGTTGCGATCGGAACAAGAACGAGAAAGATATGATCGTTCGAAGTTTTGATTGTGATGCGATGACTATGGGAATTTGTGGAGTGACTCAATATGGGGTATAGAATTTTGGGGTTGGGGAAATTCGTCACTCTACTGTAGATTGATGCCAAGTGGTTGGGAGAAGCCAAACTAGGTTGGCAAGTGTGGCCAAGTTGGGTGAGGTGGATGGCATGAGTTGGGAAAGTGACAAATGTCAAAGTTTGGGTGGCTATAAAGAGGGGAATTGTGTGGTATGGGGTTTCCTTGGTTGAGGACTCCCTTGGGACCTTCTCTCTCGTCCTCCTTATCCCTTTCTACCTGGTTCTTGCTACTTCAACTTCCTTGTGTGGAACTTGTGAGACAATTGTGATTGAGTTAAGTTTCTATGGCAGCATACCCTCTAGTGCGCCGAAATTCATAACTCGGGTTATAATCCATATTTTGCTACGATTCAAATTGTGAAAGATAGCCACTGCCAAGGGCTACATCATAATTGAGTTTGAGAGAATTCTGACCATGCGTGTTTTGTCGACGACGTTTCTTGTGACGATGACTTTTCTGTCCAGAGTTATAGTTGACGATTTTGAGCTACATCGGCCCTTAATCTTCATAGACTCTGTTCTTAATCTCTAACAGAGAGATGGAGGGAGCAGGGCGGTGGCTTGTTGTCCTCCCCCTCCTCCCCCTCTTCCCCCCCTTCCCCCTGGCCGTCCGCGTCTGGGTTCCGCCCCAACTACTTCTGCTCGCGCTTTTTCGCCCTCTCCCCCTGCCTGGGGGGGAGGGGGGGCGCGGATGGGGAGGGGGACGAGGGGGAAGAGGGTGAGGAGGCGGAGGTGGGGGGAGAGGGGGCGGAGAAGGGGACGGAGGGGGCGGGCAATCAAGGGGCGGTAGAGGGGTGGGTGAGGTATGAGCAGGATGGGAGCTTCACGGTTGGGCTGGCAGATGGGAGACATGTGGCAGCGTGTGGTTGGGTGGTGGATGGGGAGGGGCGGCGGGTGGAGGTGGAGGTGGGAGGGGAGAGAAGCCAAGTGTCCTTCTTCCACGAGAGCATGGTGAGATGGAGAGGGAGGGGATTGTAGTGGTGGGGTTGTAAGGGTGGGATTTTAGGGGTGGGAGAATGGTGAGATGAGGGAATGGAGGGATTAAGGGGTTGGGAAGATGTGGAGAGATGATAGGAGATGATGGGAGATGATGGGAGATGATGGTTGGAATATGCATGAGGGGGGGAAGAGGGCCTGACAGCATGCACACCCACGTGTGGGTGAGTGGCCACCACCACCAGTTCGCCTCCCCATGCCTGTCCATCTCCCCTTTACTTATCCAGGTTTCCCCTCTCACTCCCCTTTTTTCTTACGATCTCCATTTTCCTTCCACCCCCCATCCCCTCCCCCCACCCATTAGCCTGACAGCATTCGCACCCACGTGTGGGTGAGCGGCCACAACCTCCAGTTCTCCTCGCCCTTCCCCTCCATCTCCCCCTTCCCCCTCGACGATCACGATGACTATGAATACACCGATGATGATGATGATGATGATGATGATGATGATGATGATGATGATGATGATGATGATGATGATGATGATGATGATGATGATGATGCTCATGCTCATGTTGATGGTCCCGGCGCTACCAAAGATGGGCATCATGGTGACAGCGTGACCCCTTTGATGGCTGCTCCTTCTCACCTTCTTCCCCTTACTCCACTCTCTCCCCACCCCTCCATCCCATACCCATCAGCCTGACAGCATGGCCACCACCACCAGTTCGCCTCCCCTTGCCCTTCCATCAGCCCCTTCCCCCTCGACGACCATGACGACTATGATGACATGCATGGGCATGTGCGTGGTGCTCACACCCCAACCCCTCCACCCTCCAACCCCCAACCCCCCAGCCTAACAGCATTGTCACCCACGTGTGGGTGAGCGGACACCACCACCAGTTCGCCTCACCCTGCCCCTCTATCGCCCCCTTCCCCCTCGACGACCACGATGACTATGATGACGCGCATGGGCATGGCCGTACTCATGGGAACACCCATGGGCGTGGGCATGGGAGGGGCGTGGTGGTAACGCCGATGACAGGGAGGGTGGTGCGGGTGGCATGTAGGGAGGGCGCATCTGTGCGCAAGGGGGACGTGGTCGTGATTCTTGAGTGCATGAAGATGGAGGTGAGGGTTTTCCGTTGAGGTGTCGTATTCTGTGTCGGATTTCACATGCCTCACATCACATGAGTGTGCGAGGCGGATGTGGTGGTGATTCTCAAGTCCACGACGATGAAGGTGAGCGGCAGGCCGTGTGAGTTGATATGAGAGGATGAGAGGCATTGCCCGTAAGGACAGCCTGAGGTGAGCTGAGAGGCCCCGAGTCCTCGAGCCCTTTGCACAAGGGATATGGTTCTATCAGTGGCGTGTGGTGCTTGACACGTATCCGCATGTGTGAGAAATGGGGAAGTGGTGGTCATCCTTGAGTCGATGAAGATGGAGATGAGCCGTTAGGCCCGTGAGCTGAGAGGCCTTTCCCTTGTATGCACATGGGATAGGGAGCATTGCTGCTGTCTCACTCTCCACGTGCTCCACGTGTGTGTGCAATAGGGATGTGGTTGTCGTCCTTGATTCCGTGAAGATGCAGGTGGGATTCTTACTCCGAAGTGTCGTTATCCTTGGCATTCTCTTCAAACAATATCGTCCCTCTTCTTCACCCCCTTCCTCCCTCCACCTCGTCCACCCTCCCCCTTTCCCTCTGCCTCTCAGCTGAGCAGAATTCAGTGAAGGCACGGCAGTCAAGCGTACTGGCAGATGTGAGAGTGGCAGTGGGGTAGCAGGTGGCAGATGACATGCCTCTCTTCCGCGTGCTGCCGCCAGACCAAGCCGCTTCCACCTCTCCATAGCCTACTGCTCCCACAGGAAACAGCCGCATCATAGCCGTGCTGCCAGTAGCCAGTGGCTAGTGGGGAAGGGGACGGAGGGAGGGGCGGTGGGCCAGCAGGTGGCGGACGGCATGCCTCTCTTCCGCGTGCTCCCCCAACAGCAAGCAGCATCGCCCTAGCCTTGCTGCTGCCAGGGGTAGGCACTGCCCGGAGGAGGAGTAGGTGGGGGAGGGAAGGGGCGGTGGGGCAGCAGGTGGCGGACGGCATGCCTCTCCTCCGCGTGCTGCCACCACAGGAGAAGGGTTCCCCACCCTAGCCGTGCTGCCCTTATGGTGGCTAGTGGAGTGGTTTTGGGGGGGCGGGTGGGGAGTAGTGGTGGGTCGGCAGGTGAAAGACAGCATGCCTCACTTCCAGGTTTCCTCATTCTTGCCTTGTTGCCTCTACGGTAGTTAGTGGAGTGGGTGGGTGGGGGATGGTGGGGAGGTGATTGCATGCAGCTGCATTGAGCCTCTGGCGGGGGTTCATTATAGGAGTTGTCTACTCTGCAGTATCCGCCCATTGCAATTCTGCAAGGATTTTTATATTCACCAGGAATGTGTGATGCATGCTGTACAGCACGCTTTGCAGGTGTATATAATGTACTATTTGAGTTATCACATGTTATATCGACTTTGTAAGGAGATTGGGCTCGGATATTCAGGTGAGACCAGCCGCAGCATAGATAGAAAATGGTTTTTTTTTTTTTGAAAATTATAAGGGGAACGAATATGTCGTCCCTTTTGTTTTTTTTTGTGAAATACCTTTCTGAGATGCAAACATTATGTATATGTGTTTATACGAAATGCAGTAGCTAACGCTCCACTTCTTCGAGAATATCAGACGTTTTTGTACCGGGTTAATCGGTGCAATGAAGAATATCACGATTCAGGGCGAAATCAAAGTCAACCCCGTTCAACACGTACGCGCCACGCCCAACTGGGTGGCAAAGCTCCGTGGATGGCGCTGAGGGTAACCACGCGGATTCGTCTCGGTCAAAAGTCCGTCGCCGAGAACTTGCGAACATCGAGATTGCCGGCTCGTCTCGGCTGCTTTCAGGGATTCAACATGACTCCAGCCGTTACACGCTCGTCCGCTAGCATTATCCAGTGCAATTCTCACAGTTATTTAGGTCGCACTGCGTTCAGAAACTGCTTCATCATTCGAAGTACTTACTTCTGCATTGTACAGCCTCGCGTCGCCTCGCGCTAAATTGACTTCAAAACGACGGGCTCATGCGCGCCAAATTCATCTTAGCTATATCATCTGCTTCGCGATAATAAGTGTGCTGCTGTTGACCAACTCGCAAGCCCACTAAAAAAAAACGAAAAATACATATCAGAAAACTGTGAAAGTCCCGATCATAGCATTCCATAGCGCCTGCCATAGCGATCCCCCCTATATTTCCAGCCTCTAGCTTGACGCCCGCATATTCCGCTTGGATTCGACCCGCCCGGCGCGGCGCAATGAGGGGCCACGCCAGATTTCTCCTCGCCATCGCGCTTCTCTTTTCGTCCACGTGTCAATGCCTCACCATTCGACGAGCTCACCGTAAGCCACGTCACTATGTCCAGCTATATCAACTATCCCGTGCATTTCTGGATCCTAGTCGCACTAATATCTCAGCACTTTAAATTTTGGTTCCAAAAACATTCCGCTCCACATTCCATTCTCACCTGAATATCTTTCCCACATCCCCGCCCCACACGCACCTCATTGCTGCACCAATCGCACCGCCTACTCCTGAGTCCAGGTCACTCTACATCGTGCGCCTGCGCTCCGCCCTTCCCCTCGCCGCATATCGCGGCGGAATTGCAAGCTTCCCGAGATGGACGGACGACGACGACAATGCTGCCAGTCTGCCAGGTCTGGGGGCGACGACCGCAACAGTGGCGCACGAGGCGGCGACACTGGGCGGCAGCATTCCGCGGCGCGCGCGGCTGAGCATGGAGAACCCGCAGCTCAAGGCGTACGCGCAGATGCTCGAGACGCAGCATGTTGGAAGTGTGGGGGACGGGATTGCCCCCCACGCGAAAGACCTCCCTTGACTCGGACCAAGGGAGGGTTCGTTCTTGAAAGGTTGGGGTGACGGCGGATTGTCCGCGTCGTCACGCAACCGAACTTCCCCCGGCTGGGTCCGAATATTTGTGGGGGCGACACTTGGCAGCCCCACAAGCATGCACGAAAATAGCAAGAGTGCAAGCGAATGTTACGAACATTTCGCTACACTCGCTATTGTTCCTTGTAACACATGATTGTCGGCGTGAAGAAACGAACCTGGCAAAGTCCGAAATTGTGAACGCGGACATCGCGGAAATTGGACGCGATCCTGAGTCCGAATTTCCAGCGAGTCGCGCGCGGTTCGATGTTACAATTGTGCTTGCATGTTTTAGCTATAAAATCAGAGAGCAAATTCCAAAGAGTTAACTTCAACTCATCACTTGTACCCATCCTTGCATTATAAGCAATATCTCTTTCAATTCTTAGGCGATTACAGAGATTCAAAGTGCCACGGATTCCTTGCTCCGAGCCCGTCGGAAAAAATTTAGTCTTGGCTCCTAACTCGCCAAGTGCATTCTGTGGCGTCACTAGGAGCAGGCCGGTTTCTTTCACAACAGACCCAAGTCGCGTTTGACATGGGCGTGGCGTCAGATCGCATAGTGTACAAGTACGTTGAGGGTAGAGCTTGACGAGTGGGACCCAAACCAGCAGCTCGCTGCGTGTTTTGAGATCCATTTCATGGCTCTCTTTTCCAGGCCCTCCTTTCCCATTCCTTATCCTCAACCCCCCCTGCACCCTCTCCCCCTTCCTCCTCCGCTCTTCCCTCACCCAGCTACATGCACGTGAGCAACGGGTTCGCAACGGCCCTATCCCCGGAGCAGGTGTGGCGGTTGGAGCGACACCCGGCGGTGGCGGCAGTGACGCGCAGCCGCAGAGTGACCCCTCTCACCACCGACTCGCCCACCTTCCTTGGCATGCGCGCCCCTGGGTCGCTGTGGCCCGCCAATGGCGGGCAGGCAAAGGCGGGAGACGGCATGGTGATAGGGGTGGTGGACACGGGCATCTGGCCGGAGCACCCCTCCTTCAGCGATGCCTGGTTCCCCTCCTCCAAGCCTGCGGGGTGGTCGGGAAAATGCGACACGACGAGCTAGTTCAAGTGCAATAATAAGCTCATAGGTGGCTGCGTGTTTTACAAGGGATTTAAGATGGACATCGGCGACCCGGACTTGTCTTCGGATTGGTTGTCTCCTCGGGATTCGGATGGCCATGGCACATGGTGTGCAAGGTACATGGCTTGACTTCACTCAAGCTTTGAGATGTCAATGGCTCGAGCTGGAATGCTTTAGTCTTCAAATCTTAACCATGCATTGCCCCCCCGTTCACTCGGGTTTTGAGATGTTACGGTGAATTTTCTCTCTCTGTCTATCCCCCTAACTATCCTCTCCCCCCCCCACCCTCCGCCATCCACCCTCTCTGCAGAGCGGCAGCAGCAACAAGGACGTGCCCATGGCGGGCGGCAAGGCGAGCCGCATGGCGCCGGCAGCGCGCCTGGCAATGTACAAGGTTCTCTGGTACTCTGAAGGCTCTCTTACCGGGACATGGGCCGACATCGAAGCGGCAGTCAACCAGGCGGTAGCGGATGGTGTGGATGTCATCTCGATCTTGCTGGGCGGCATGGATAATATGGAGATCTACTTCGACCACATGCCGTACCTCAGTGCTAACCTGGTGCGTTTACTTACAGAACTGCGTCTGCCTCCATGCTTCCAGCACACCAGCCGTCACCTTGCGCTCACACTTTGTTTGCGCCCCTCCATCTCCCTTTCTACCTTTCCTTCTCCTTGCTGGTCCAGGCCGGGGTGTTTGTGTCATATGCAGCGGAAAATGCTGGCTCGCCAGGCTACTAGGATCCCTGCTACTTCCGCACAATCGACAACTTCTCGCCCTTCTATCTCACCGTGGGGGCTAGGTGAGTCTCCCTGCCCCTCCTCCTCCCTCCTCTCTCTCTCTCTCTCTCTCTCTCTCTCTCTCTCTCTCTCTCTCTCTCTCTCTCTCTCTCATTCCCTCTCTGCCTCTCTCTCTCTCTCTCTCTCTCTCTCTCTCTCTCTCTCTCTCCCTCTCTATCTCTCTCCCTTTCTCTCCCTCTCACTCTCTCACTCTCTCTCACACACATATTCATTTAAAATCTTCTCCCTCGCTGCCCGCTTACATCCCCCTCTCTATCTTCCCGTACTCTCCCCTCTCCCTCCCCAATTCCCCCCCTAGCACCATAGGCCGTGGTGGTCTGACCCTCAAGGCCACCACACCAGCAGCAGCAGCTCTCAGCAACTCATCCTCCTCCTCAGCCACCGCCTACCCTTCCATCGCTGATTTCTCCTCCACAGGACCCCTCTGTGACCCTGCTACTCGAGCCACCGGCGCGCTGCCCACCAACAGCATCTTAAAGCCCGACATTGTCTGCCCGGGAGTGGATCTCTACGCTGCTGCCCCAGGCGCGAAGGTCGGGAAGCCGGGCAGCTTCGCACAAATGTCCGGAACGTCGATGGCGACGCCTCACTTGGCGGGCATTGCTGCTCTCATCATGCAGAAGCACGCCAAGTGGAGCCCCGCGCAGGTCATGTCTGCCATTATGACAGCTGCGAAGACTACTGACACCAGTGGTGCTGCTATCAAGAATGGAGGTGGCGAGGTTGCTATCGTGGGATATGGGCGCTGGTCACGTGTTCCCACACAAGGTGCTGGACCCTAGGCTCATCTTTGACGCTCGGGCAGCTGCGTATCGGAATTTTCTGGCTGGGCAGAATATGAAGCGGGCACAGAGGCACTTTCCGAACGCCAAGCTTACCGCGGTTTCTCCTGTCAAATTACATTTGTATGTGTAGGCTGTAGTGGGGTAGCCTCTACTGAGTACAACACTTTAGGTCAAACCTAGTACTTGTACTTATCCTTGCTTGCTAGTCAATCATTCCTGCACGGTTATTCTGACATCGTATTCAGAGCAGGAAACCTGTTCAGTTTTTAGGGCCCACTGATAGTTCCGCTCGTTCCTGCCCGAAGCGCCCTTGCGCTGTCCGGCCCTGCTCGCACAGTGTCGCGCTGCCCTGCAGATACTCGCACTGCCTGCCCCCCTCACATCGCGCCCTGCTGCAGCCTGCGAGTCACGCCCTGCTGCCCTGCCCAGCACGCGCCGCCCTGCCCTGCAGCCCGCGCCCAGCTGCCCTGCAGCCCGTGCATCGAGCTGCCCTGCCCTTAGGCCTGCGCGCCGCCCTACCCTGCAGCTCGCGAGCCGCAGTGCCCTGCCCTGCAGCCCAGAGCATCGCGCCCTACTGCCCCGCGCGTCGCGCTCTACTGCTCGCGCGTCACGCCCTGCTGCAGCCCGCACGTCGCACCCTGCTGCTCTGCACGTCGCGCCCTGCTACAGCCAGCGCATCGCGCCCTACTGCAGACTGCGTGTCGCGCTCTGCTGCCCCGCGCGTTGTCAACGGAAATGGAGTGTTGGCCCCGCCCTCGCTTGGGCAACGTCGACGACTTGGTTGGATGTACGGGAGTAGCAGCTGACCATCCACAGTGGGAGAGCTGCTCGACGGGCTTCGTCGAGCTGCAAGGGACCGCTGTGGTGTTGCTGACGACCAGGGAGCTCGACAGCTGCAGCTGACTGGTCTGAGCGACGGGTGGGCCGTCGACCAGGAGGGGCAGTTCGACCGAGAGGTCGACAGAGCAGTCTGTCGACCTGACAAGTGAGCAGCGGTCGACGAGGGGAGCTCGGCGACAAGAAGCTGACAGTTCTGGTCGACGGACCCCTTCCGTCGACCAGGGGGTAGCTTGACGGGAGCTGTGGTCGACCAGGCGCACCTGGTGGTCGACCAGAGAGACACTTGGTGGTCGACCCACCAGGGGTTGTCCAGGTCGACCGCGTAACCTACTTCGCGAGTTCTGCGGAGGCACGCGAACTTCGTCGAGGTCGCGATGGCGAAGGTGACTTCGGGTTGGTATCCCGAAGTCGATGTGGCTCATCACGCACAGACAATAGCCGACGGATCCACAACGGTGCAAGTCGGGCCAATCGTCTGCGCGCACCTGTGAGCGTGCGCACTGCTGTCTTCTACGGGGCAACGCTGGACAGCCGCTCTGCTGCAGCGTTGGCACACCGTCGACTTGCTGTGTTGGCAGGTCGCCTTTCTGCAGTGCTGGCGCGGCTCCTCTGCGCAACGCTGGCAGGCGGTCGACCATGCTGTGCTGTCTGTCGACCAGGCTAGCTGCAGAGTTGCTAGGTGCCTGATGTAGTCATTCTTGTCATTGCTTGTTTAACAATTCTGTAACTCCAACTTTGCTAGTGAAACTCTTGCCAATTTCTCTCGTGATTGTGCAGGCACTAAGGAACTAGCCAAAGCTACCATCACTTCCAGTAGTTCGTGCCAACCTCGTAGTCTAGCTCACCACCGTTGTAGAGTGACTCTCCTCATGGTTCGGTGAGCGTGGAACGAACACGCGACCTTCAGATAGGAGCCGACTTCTGCACCTACTAAGTCGTTCATAGGCCGGCAGCAGCGATAGTCACCATGGCCGACCCCGTAGCTAATGCGGGCGTATCGGACACCTTGGAGGCACGTTTGGCTGATGCGAGGAAACGCCACACGGATGGCGAGTACGGGACGATCCCCTTGCTGATCGTCGAGTTGGGCATCCGGTCGCAGTGGGCAACGGAACACCCTTCCCGTCCTGATTCTCCTCGACCGGTGCGAAACAAAGGTGGCGTCGACGACGAGGTCGACGGCGGTGCACGAGTCAGTGGCAACAATGGCATGAAGCAGAGAGGAGTGATCAAGGTCGACGGTGGCATCGACAAGAGTCAGGCGCGAGTTCAGCAGTTGACGACAGCTGCAGGTAGCTCGCAGGCCGACGTCGATGGTCGACGTCGCTCTCCCCTACGAAACGGTGGAGGGCTCTCGGCGATGACGCATGTGACAACGGGCGGGATGGCACCGACCTATGGCTACTTCAAGTTCTCGCCGGATCGGATCACCGTCGCACCGTTGCAAGGTCGACGAGACCTCATCACCTGGAGGGAGTCGATCGAACCTCAGCTGGAGGTCGCTGGGATGAAGGGCTTCGCCGACCGCACAGTGCCAATTCCGCCTCTGGAGGATGTCGGGCTACGCGGGGAGTTTCGTGCGGCTCACTTGCTCACCTTCATGGTCATCTCGAGGTGCTGCTCACCGGTGGTGCAGCTGGTGCTCAGGAGCTGTCGAGAGTGACCACCAGGCATGGCACTTCATCCTGTCGACGTACCAGGTCAGGGACGACCTGTACATCGCACAACTGGAGGAGAAGATGACACACATTCGGATGGGCGAGCAGGAGTCGGCGACGGACTACTGCAACCGTGCTCGACGGATCCTGGCTGAGATGCGGATGGCGGGCGCCGAATACTCGACGGCGTCCTACATCTCCCACATCGTCAAAGGCCTGCCGCGCGGTTACAACCTCATGAAGAGGATGATGATGGTACCTGGCACGCGTGAGTCCCTCGACGAGGACTCCATCACCAGCTACATCCTCCAAGATGAGGCGATGCAGGAGGCTGAACAACCCACGGAGCTCCTTCCTCAGGCAAACTACGCTGCACCGACGAAGCTAAATCAGCAGCAAGGGCAGCACATGATGCATGGCGGAGGTGGTAGCGGAGGTGGGCGGTCGACGAAGGACGTCGACGAGAAGAGGTCGACGCGGGGCAAGGGCCGTGGAGGTGGTGGTCGACGGCGGGAGTGTTAGATCTGCCATGATCCCGACCATCTTTCATACGAGTGTCCAGACCGCGACGATAGCGACGAGGACGACACCAAGGGAGGCCGTGGCCATTCGACCAGCACTCGCCCACGTCGAAATGAGATGTCGCGCAGGGAGAAGCGGACGTCGAAGAAGACGTCGTCAACGAAGGACGTCGACAGCTCCAGCGGCAAGAGCCGAGGCGACGGGGAGGCGTCGTGCTCGATGGTCGGCGTCGTGGAGCCGACGGTCTCGCTGGCGCCGGAGGCTGGCGAGGACTTCCAGGTGGTGGCGGCAGTTGTGCAAGCAAACCCGATGGCGGTGCTGCTCGACAGCGGCTGCTCCCACCACCTGATGGGGACGAAGGCGGTCTTCGTCGACATGGCGCCAAGCGGCGGCGTGAAGCACGTGCGTGGATTCAACGGGGCGCTGCAGCCTGTCGAGGGTCGCGGAACCATTGCCCTGCAAGGGGAGGCCGGGAAGCGGGTTCTCATCCCCGACGTGCTCTACGTTCCGGGCGTACGGGCGAACCTGCTATCTGCTGGCCAACTGAAGGAGAGCGGAGTGCAGCTGAAGGGCGACGGCGACGAGATGTTGCTCGGGTTGTGCGGGCCATTTCGGGTTTCTGCCAAGGATGGCAGTCTGTACTTCCTGCTGCTGAAGGATCGCCACACTCGATTTGTGTGGGTGATGCCGGTCGCTCAGAAGAGCGACGTTCTGCGGGAGTTTCAGAAGTGGCTGGTGCTGGTGGAACGACAGACGAAGAAGTCGGTTTTGAAGCTCCGCTCAGACCGGGGAGGGGAGTTCCTCGGGAAGGATTTCACCGACTTCGACGACGGCAAGGGCATCGTCCATGACCTGACGTGCCCTTACACTCCGCAGCAGAACGGCATAGCTGAGCGGGAGATGCGCACGGCCGTCGAGTCCGTGAGGACGATGCTGTTGCACATGGGTGTGCAGCACCACTGGTGGCACCTCGCTCTACGACAAGCTGTCTGGGTGCGCAACTGCTTGGAGCGGTCGACGACACCGCCGGGGACGACTCCGTACCAGCTACTGACCGGGAAGAAGCCCGACCTCACGCTGGCGCGGGTGTGGGGCTGCATGGTGCAGTTCATGGTTCCTGAGCAGCAGCGCGGTGAGAAGCTGGCGCCGAAAGCTTGCTGGGGGCTTCACCTGGGCGTGTCGCCAGAGAGTAAGGGCTGGGAGGTGCTCGACCTGACCGACAACAAGGTGGTCACATCGGTCGAGGTGATCTTCTACGAGACACTATCGCTGGAGGTGTGGAAGGCGAAGTTTGGGCTGGCGTCGGGCCGGATGCAGGCACACCCGCCTACGGACACCTCGACGGCGACGGTTCCTTTTCTCACCAAAGTCGATGAGCCTGTTGATGAGGATGTTGTGGAGGTTTTTCCACCTCCCCCGGTTCTTGCTCCTCCCTTCCCCATCGCAGATCGGCCTGCGTCGACGCCCGTGTTGGCCACCGGCGATGAGGGGAGCCTTGAGGCGTCACCTGTGGCACCGGCCTGTGGCATCGCTGGCGGTCGACAAGGCGCCAAGCTCGTCGACCAGGATGGGAAGCCGTCGACGATAGGGGAGCAGCAGACAGGGGAGCCGGTCGAACAAGAAGCAGCAGCAGAGGTGCAGTCGACAAAAGAGCTGCTGAAGTCAGCAGGAGGTGAGCAGCTGGTCGAAAGTTCAAATCAGCTGGTTGACGAATTGACAGTCGACGAAGAAGGGGAGCTGTCGGCAGGAGAAGAGTCCACCGACAGCGACGTGGTGGAGGTCCCGATCACGATGCTTGAGCTGCAACGCACAGGTCGAGCTCGACGGCCGCCGGAACGGCTGAGCTTCCACACTTGCCTACCGCCAACTGCCTTCACCGCTATGTACGACGAGGTCGATGATGACCTGTTGTACGACGACGCCGAGGAGGATGACGAACTGCCGGAGCTCGACCCCGACATGCACGCAGACCCCGAA